CCGAATTCAACAGACCTTGGAGAGTGAACGCGCCCTCGCATTGGACAAGGAAGAGATCTTCAAGCGTCTACAAGTAAGGGAAGCAGAACTCGAAGAGAAGCTCTCTGGCGCCATAGAAGATCAAGAGAGGCTCGAGGACCAACTCGACGATCTGCTGGAAGCCAAGAAGAGGGCCGAGCACGATGTTGAAAAGTACCGAGCTCAACTGGAGCAAGCAGCACTGCTTATTGCACGGCTAGAGCAGGAGAAGTCTGAGCTCTCGGAACGCACCGAGGAGTTGGAGCGCTCCATTGAAGAGATCTCGCAAAAGCAATCGGAGCGTAGTGAACAGGAGAGACTGCTCGAGGATGAGATCAAGATGTTGCAGAGCCAGCTTAGCCTCAAGGATCGCAAAGCACGGGATTTGGAGAGCAAACTCCTCCAGATCGACCAAGACCTCGAGGTCAAATTGCGCACAGCACAGAAAGATCTGCAATCGTCAAAATCGAGAGAATCCCAACTCGCTCTCGAGAACCGTCAGGTACAACAGCAACTTTCCGAATTGTCCAAAACTTCCACCGACTACGAAGACCTTGTCCGCAAGAAGGAGAGCGAACTGTCTGTCCTTCGGGGAGATAACAAGAAGTTCGAGATTGAACGTCGTACCTTCGAGGAGCAGAAGAAGGTTCTCGTATCTGAGAAGGAGACTGCTGCATCCAAGCTTCGCGAAGTCCAGGCCGAGATCACAGCCATCAAGTCTCAGCAGTCTCAACTTGAGAGAGAAGCCGAGGATGCCAAGAAACTTCTCGAAACACGGCTTTCCGAAGATGCCCAGGCAGACGAGAACCGTCAAGTCTTGGAGGCTCAGATCAAGGATCTCAAAGATGAGCTCTTCAACATTCAAAAAGAGCTTAGCAGAGAGAGGCAGTCACGCGACGACGTTCTGCTGCTGAGCGAGCACAAGTTCAACGCCTTGCAAGAAGAGTACGATCATCTGAACGAATCGAAGATCATTATAGAAAAAGAGCTGTACGTTCAGCAAGATAACCTGCGTCGAACCAAGGAAGCCCGCGATACCGCCGAACGGGAACGTGACGAAGCGAGACAGGAGATCAGACGTCTCCGTGTTGCCAAGACTCAAGCCGAGGAAGCACGCATGCAAGCCGAGATTGAAGGTGAACGGGCTGCTTCTCGGGCTGCGAGAGAGAGAGAGGAAAGCCTTCGGAAGGATCTCGAGGCCGCCCAAGAAAGGTTGAAGTGGTTCGACGACGAGTGCGCTAATCTCAATCATCAAGTCGAGGATCTCAATAAGCTTATCCTGTCTTCTGGAGAGTTTGGTCTCAAGAACGATCAGGAGAAGGAGAGACTCGAGCGGGAGCTGGTTACTGTCAAGGGTCGCCTCAAAGCCTCGGAGAACGATAACCGTACCCTCCTCAACAAGCTTCAACAAAAGGGATTGGAAATTGCTCGCTCAAGTTCGAGAGCCAGCGAAGCTTCGAGAAGTCAAGTGCTGGGTCTGCAACGTGAAAAGACCCGAGCTGACGAGCAAAACACTCAGCTGAACAAGCAGCTTGGCGAAGCTCAACTCACCATCGCTGGCCTTGAGAAGAAGGCAGAGAAGTTGCAACTCAACCTTGAGGATCTCAACCATGAAGTGGCCCGAGAAGCCAAGGCTTCGAGGAATGCCGAGAAGACAGCATCGACAGCTACTGCGCAACTCGCGGAGGCCAATCGCACGATTGAGTCTGAGCGCCAGCTCCGTACACAGGCTCAGGCTACTGTCCGAACTCTGCAAACTACCATGGAAAGTAGGGAAAAGGAATTGCAAGAGCTGAGGGCGCAGATGCTCAAGGTCCTTAGGACGGTCGATCCCGACGTTGTTGTCCCGCCTCAAGCAGACGGCACAAACGAGGGCGTGCTTAGCAAGAACTTCGATCTGGTTAGGAAAGTCGAGGATCTCCAGCAGAACCTTCGGGTCCAGACGGCTGCTAGAACAAATGCCGAGGCCCAGTTGGCTGAGCTGCGCTCTTCTCGTATGGAGTCTCCCATGAGGCCCAAGCTGGAGGAGATCAGCCCTAACGAGGCCCCTTTCAATGGCTCGCCCACCTTCCGGCGGTCCAAGGTGCAGAATCGCCAGTACTCGAACAACTCGACGCCCACTCGCCGCTTCGAGCCAGAGAATATGGACTCGGCTCGCTCCGATAAGACTGCGGATATTCTGAGCTTCAACAATCGCATGGATCTCAAGGCCGAAGTTGAGGAGCTGCAGAACCAACTTCAAATTGCTGAGATGCAGAACCGACACCTCCAAAGCCAGATCGAGCGCGGCTCCTCGCCCCCAGAGGACTCTGAGGAGAACCTGTCTGTTCTTCGAATGCAAAAGTTGGAAAAGGTTAATAGCCGCCTGCACGACATGCTGGATGACTCTGCCAAGAAGGTGTCAGCTCTAGAGCGGAGCGCGAGGACTGGCGAGTTGTCCCTGCGTGATATTCAGACCCGATCGCACGAAGAGATTCTGGACGCTCTCAACAGCCAAGAAGAGGCGCGTCGCTCACTTCTGCACAGCCACAGGGATGCCATCTCGGAACTTTCGGACGTCAAGAACCATTTCGAACGGATGCGCCATGATCGAGCTGCCCTCGAAGTCGAGCTTCGCGACACCACATCCGAACTCGAGGAAATGAGCCTGGCTCGCGAGCAAGAGGCTGCCAGCCGGAGCCAGCTTCTCCAGGACTTCTCGGATCTGCAGATTCAACTCGATAACCAAACTTCCAAACTTGCCGATGTTGGGTCAAGCTTGAACCTGTACAAGAGTCGTGCTGATGAGTATTTCAGTAAACTGGAGCAAGCCGAGATTGCTGTCTTGAAGGCCAACCGAGCAGAGTTGTTTGCCAAGACGCAGGCTAAGGAGGCTGAGGAGACGTACGCCGAAGTCATGTCCGAAAGAGAAAAGATGGATGCCACCATTGAGGACCTGCAACGTCAGAACCAGAGGCTTGAAGAGAAGCTTGAGGACGTTTCAACCGATCTAGATGCCGCGAGCCAAGCTAAGAAACGCCTTCAGCACGAACTCGAGGACTACAGGAACCAGAGAGCCAACGACATCGAGGACAAGGAAACCAGCATGGAGCAGACCCGCAAGAAGTACCAAGCCGAGTTCGCAACATTGACCAAGGAATTGGATCTGGCCCGGGAGGAGAAACTCTTCAAGCAAGCCGAAATCGCCCGCTTGCGCGAGGAGCTTGATGAGCTCCGCTCTAAGTGGGACGACGAAGTTCTCAACAGCTCGACTTGGTCCAAGGAGAAGGCCCGGCTGGAGTCGACTCTGGCCGATGTCGTCTCGTCACGCGATGAGGCGGTCAACGCCCACAGCGAAGCTCAAGGCAAGGTGGTGACTTTGCTTTCCCAGGTTCGGTCCCTACGCGCCTCAGTGGACGAAGTAACTTCTGAGCGAGACCTTCTCGTTCGGGAGAAGCGTAGCATCGAGGCACGCCTAGAGGAAGCCAAGGCTGGTCTGGAAGATCTCACCAACGGCGACAGCGCATCACTTCGTGATGCCGCCAACCTTGACAAGGAAATGTTGGAGTTGAAGTCCAGCCTCGCCCAGCATGAAGATATTGCAGCTGCTGCAGTGGAGAAGATGAGACGTGCCGAGGCCTTAGCCGCGGAAATGCAGAAGGAGGCAATGGTTGAGCGCGAGGCCAGCACACAGCTCCAGAAGGTTAAGGCTACCCTGGAGAAGTCTTTGAACGAGATTCAAATCAAGTTGGTCGACCTCGAGACCAAGGGCTACTCAAGCGCCAGCCACGATATAAAGTTCCTGCATAAGCGCATCCAAGAGGTAAGAATCGCGAATCACAAGGCGTGTTTTTTACACAGTCGCTAACAACATCAACCAGCTTGAGTCTCAGCTTGAGGAGCATGAGAATGAGAAGAATAAATCCCAGCGATCGGTTCGCAATGTTGACCGGATCGTCAAGGACCTCCAAGGTCAAATCGACCGCAAGGACAAGCAGAACACACAGCTGCAGGACGACGTTGGCCGCATGCGTGACAAGGCGGAGAAGCTTCTGCAGACGATTGAGGAGCTTCAGTCTTCCGAGTCGGAGAACCAGCTTCAGGCACGCCGTGCTGAGCGGGAACTTCGCGAGGAGAAGGAGAGATCGATGCGCCTGGAGCGTGAGCTCGAAGGCATCAAGGCGTTGAGATTCGAAAAGGGGGCTGCGTCCGCCATGGGAAGCGTCCGCGGTGCTTGGCGCACAGGGTTCACTGTTGGTGATGACGCCGCCTCAATGATTTCTGTACCCAAGCGGAAGAGCAGCCTTAGTCGGGCACCGAGTCTTACCAAGGGGTTCTTGTGAAAGGGTAGCGGGGTGTGAGGGGTATGATGTTGATGTATGGGGAAAGGACGTTGTAATGTTTAAATGGGACTGACTAGCACGGGTTTGTTTTGGCGTTCGAGCCACGGACTGTAAAGGTCTGGGGAAACGGAGCGTGCGTTTGGTCGTGAAGGGCGTGTTATGGTGTTTTTCTTTTCCTGTTGTATACGTACAGCATCGGAGTGTCTGGCATTGGTTTGCGCTGGGTGTTGTTGGTCAAAATTACATATTTACAGTTGCCTTTATGAGACGAATAGATTCGGAAGTTCAGAGTCATGACAAGTCACACTTGCATAAGTCCACGAGAATCAAGACATTGCCATCTTCTCACCGCTGTATTACTGGTAAATATTGTTTGGTTCTGGCGGTTGTACTTGGTGACCTTGGACATGCGGGTAGCCGCGCCATCTCGAGAGGGGAAGCTTGGTGATGGAGCAAACAAAAGGGGGAGGGCCGGCTGTTTTTTTTCTTTCCTGGTTTTGTGACTTTGTCTTACTTGTTTCTCTTTTTATTTGCAGCACCTTCGAAACACACTCTGCCTCGTCGTTTAGAGATCGGGAGTCGGGACTTGGATGACTTGGTACGAATCGAACTGGCCGACAAACAAGACCATATCGTCGGAATTACAACACTGTTTCGGAGATGACGGATCTTCGACAGCGAGTCCCGGTTGGGGGACTTAGCGATGTTGGAGGCGATGTGATTTGTCTTGATGATGATGGTGTTATTGACGAGGGAGGGGATGTCGGCGTCGTTGGTGTGGGTGGTAGTGCTGGGGGGTATTATTACTACGATGACGGGAGTGAAGGTACTTCGGAATCAGAGACGAGTTCGGATGATGATGAGGAGTGTGGTGGATGTGGTGATGGAGATGGGTGTAGGGGATGTTGGGAGGATGATGAATGTTATTTTGAGATGGTGGGGTGTCTGACTGGAGGAGGGAGGGGAAGAGGAAGTTGTGGATTTGGATTTGAGTGTGAGGTTGGTACCGCAGCAATGAGAGGGAGGAAGGGGAGGAAGGGCAAGTGCAAGGAGTGTGAGAAGAAGAGAAAGTGTAAGGCATGTGAGAAGAGGAAGAAGAAGAAAAAGGGAAAGGGGTTCTGGAGTACGTTGTATCCTGTCAAGAAGTTGGGAGAGTGGGGTGGTGATGTGGTTGGTGTTTCGAGGTATCCTGGTGAGGTGAGTATTCTCTTCTCTGTTCCCTTTGCTCCCTTATTTGACGGCCATCTTGCCTTCTGGGCATCTGTGAGGAGAAGAGGGTCAAGGTTTTAATGTTTGATGATAGCTAATGGCGCGTGGAACAGCAAGATCCGAAGAAGTGGGGGTTCAAGGTCGACGATAAATTACGCGGTTCTCGGGGGTGTCTTTTGGGACCTAACGATACGATGACGAGGCATGTCTGCGCTGAGACTGGATCTTGTGGGGATTTGAGACGGTCGTATACGGTGACAGAACCCCGACGACGAGGAAGAGGACAACAGCATACATTGAGACGGAGACACTACCGCGATGGCGAAGATCTAGAGAGGGAGGACGGGTTCAGTCCCTCACAGGGTCGATGGACGTCGCTATCATTCAAGAAGTATGAGGCTTCTCCGAGGAGGAAAAGGAGAAGCAGGAGCAGATCACGGGATACGGGGAGGTATGTTCGCGAGAGGGTTCGACATGTGTATATCCGGCGCGAGGGAGATGATGGGAGGTATAGAGGCGGGAGGGGAAGGAGTTTCAGCAGGAGGAGAAGTAGGAGTCTGAGCAAGAGTTTCAGCAGAAGTAGAAGTAGGAGTAGGACCGTAAGTTGGAGCAGGGCCATGAAGAGGGGGGATAGCAGTGATGAAAGGGATTGGTATTATATGCACGGCGGTCATGGGGATGAAGGGGGACGGCATGGAGAGAGGGAGTTTAGAAGCGGCGGCGGCGGATATGACGACGGACGACGCGGTGATGATCGAGGCAGGGGCAGTGTCGAACCTGGAAGTAGGAGACGGGCGAGGAGCTGGGAGAGGAGGTCGGATGTTAGTGAGAGGGTTGGGGAGATGGACGATCGGTCGCAGGGGAGTTCTTATGCTCTTGGAGAGAAGCAGGGGATGGCTGTTGCTAGGAGGGATGAGGTTGTGAAGACGGTTCGTTTTCAGGGTCGACCCGGGTCGTGAAGAGAGAACCGTGGGTTATTTAAACTGAAAAACAAGAGTCACTGTGAAAGACTTGTGGACAGCAGTGTGAAGCGATGTCTTGAGTTAAGCATGTGATATAATATTTCATTCAAATAACCTCCCATCTCACATGGCCTCATTAAGTCCCATCGTCAATCTCTTCATGCAATTAAGTTAAACCCCCTTTTCACCGTTCATTTTGACGTTCAGAAACTGTTCACCGTCCCTGTGCCGGTACCTTTTCATAAGTCTTCACCTGGCCGGGCATGCGGTAGATACACAACTCCCGACAGAACATGCCCCACTCGCCGCTGGTGCCTTCGCGGACGGCCTCCTGCATGTCACGGCCGTACCGCTCACGGTAAGCGCGCTTGACGGCCTCGAGGTGGTGACGGTCCCAATGGAAGCGGACAAGGCGCGAAATGAGCAGCTCGCGGCGCAGATCGTCCTTGCGGCTTGCTGTGAGGGCGTGGTGGACCAGTAAGGCGTCGCGGACAGGTCTGTTGATGACGCCGTTGAGGACATGGGCAAGGAGTTCTCCCTACGAGGAAAAGTATGTTAGTTCCGTGTCTATGTTTGTGTTACCATGGAAGTTTACTCACCACTAGGTTACCGCTCTTCTTGAGCGCGTCACGGGCGAAGTTAGCCCGATACGTCCGCTCGTACAACTTGAGCACCTCGCGTAGGTGCGAATCGCTCCTCTGTACGACAATGCTAATCATAAGCGACTCGCCGCCCTTTTCCGACTTGACGGCCTTGCGCAGGTCCGAAACGTCGTCCTCGACCGAGTTGTAGTCGATAGCCAGGCGGCGACCATAAGGATCATACTCCTCCATCCGGCGCTCCTCGAGCACCATGAGCACGGCCTTTTTGAACTTATCCTCTTTCAGCTCCGTCTTCATGCACTTTGTCAGGCTGTTGTCGTACTTCTTATCGCTGAAGCCGTCCTTGATGAGGCGGATCTCGCTGTTCGTGCGGCCCATGAGCGACTCGATGAGCAGCTCCCGGCGCGTCTTGTCGCCCTGGTACCAGAAATTGGCCCAGTATGCCTCGCTCTCCCACTGGCCGAGCGCTGTGGCGTAGCAGGCCTTCATCAGGTTCGGATCGGCGTCCTTGAGGCGGGAGCGGATGTGCTTAGCCACGTTGACGCCCTTGCGGTCGGCGCCCGTCTTGACGAGAGCCTTGTACTCCTTGCGAAGGTCCATGACCTGTTCGTGGGTGAGGCCAGGCAGGATCTCAATCAAGGGTTCCGGGTCCGGGTTTTTCCTGTCGCTGCGTAGCGCTTTCGCGATTCTCGACGCATCGTCCTCGGTGTCGTGGAACCGCGCACGGCGGCGTCGTCTACCTTCGTCGTCAGAGCCGATTGGCGAGAGGGGCTCCATGACCTGCAGGTCGTGTGATGAGGGCAGCAGCATGGGTGACGGCATGGGTGACATGTCCTGATAGGTGCCGTGGTACGACTCCAGCAGCGGCGAGCCCGGCGCATTGGCTAGCGACATGCTCACGTTCATGGAGTGGTGGCCAGTGTTTACAGAGAGGTTCGACATGCGGTGAGTAGGCGGCTGGGGCGACTTGTCCCGCTTACGGCTGCCGGGCTCGACGGTCAAGACATTGGACGAGACGCGCGGGTCGTTGGCGTAGTACTGCGCGGCGCCGGCCGAGATCTGTGGCCCTGGACTCGGTGCGCGACCAGAGTATCGGGGCTCAGGGGCGAGGCCGCCTGGTCTAGAAGCATTGGGGTCGAAGCCGTACGCGAGGTTCTCTTCTAGAGCCTTCTTCTTTTCCTCCTTCTTCTTGGCCTTGTCGTCCGTCTTTGCATATTCGTAGGGCTGCGGCTGAGCGTAAGCGTAGCCGCCGGGCGACACGGGGCGAGGGGGCTTCGCTGGGGGGTACAGGTCGCGTTCGTCAGGGCGAGGCGGCTTTGGGGGCGCGTACTCGGCCTCGTTGCCGTATTTGCTGTTGCTGCGACCGTGACTGCTGTATTTTGCGGGCAGGTACTTGAGCTTGTCGTCGTCGCGGGGATCGTCGTACTTTTCGCGCGAGTTGCGGTAGTAGTTGTCTTGCGGGGATGGGGGCGGACGGTAAGCAGGATTGCTGCCGCGCGGGTCGTCGTAGTCGTAGAGTGACCTGGTGCCTGGAAACATTGCATCGCTGCCGTCCTCTGGGTAAGGAATAGCGCCCGACATTGCGCGGCTGGCACCCGGCTCTGCGGTGACGACGTGGGCGCCGCCTCCTCTCTCGCGTCCATATCTGCCACCATCGAGGTCGTCTTCCGGGTAAGCGTAGGTGGGCTCGCGCGGGGGATCAACCATGGCGGGGACCGCGGGGCTCCGACTGCGCTCGCGACGGCCCGGTGAGCGCGAACGAGTGCGACGGCCTCGGTCGTCAACCTGGAGAGACATGGTAGTTGCTTGGAGAATTTTGGACACTCGAACTGGGTTTGGCGCTGTCGGGACTGAACTTGACTGCGGAAACGCAAGCTGATGGGAATCGAGGTGGGGTTTTTGGAGCTCGAAGTTGAGACAAAACGTGCGGGACAGGGAATGAGGGGCTCTCTCTGACCAAAAGGTGTGTGTGGGACAGGGACCGTGGGCGTAGGGCGACGGGAACTCCTTCTTTTTTGCTCTTATATATCAGATGGAGAGAGAAGATGAGATGTCGCGTGCCTCTCTGACTTCAATCAAGCAGAGCGCACGGCTTACTTCAAGTACTTGTGCAAAATCTTGGAGCCTCGAGAAGAGGGTTGGCTACGAAAGGAAAGACAAGGAGGCTGTGGATGCATGTAAAAGAAAGGAAAGGAGGCATATAGATGCACTAATGTAAGGGTAGGCATGGGAAAATGGGGTGAGTGAGCATTAGCAAGCCACCCAGAAAGGAGAAGAGTTGGGCTGAAGGATGTGAAACCCACCCAGTTGCATAGCGTGTCTTCCCCGTCCTGACCAGAACGGCATCATCATCAGCAGCAAGTTAGTTGTGGCCGGTTAGCTGGTTAGCAATAGCAGTTGCGGTACCATACAGTAAGCTAATGAAGCTCGCATCGTCTATCTATCCCCTGTTCTGACTCCTCGGTGGCTGGCTTGGCGGGAATTGTATCGTATGGGCTGCTGGCGAGTAATGCTTCATGACATTACCTGCAGCACCGGGCTGGCATCATGAGGTAGCCGTGTCTCTTGGATCTGCTGATCAAAGTTGTCCGTCTAGACCGTCAGGCGCTAATGGCTGTGTGGTTGCGCCGCTTGGTCCAATGGCCGCGATGGCCTCAAATCTAATGGCCCCTCAAAGGTGTCAACACCGCCTTTCTGTCGTACTGCATCCTGTGTGCACCAAGACCCTCAAGAGAGAACCCTCGAAGGGCCAGGGGGCGGGCTGGGGTCAACCGTCAATGTGGACCTGAGTGGAAGGCTGTGAACGGCGGCGAGTCCGTGGCAACGGGTTCCTCTAGGGAAGCTAAGCTCTCCGACCCCGTGGGCGGCGGCGGCGACAAAGAGGGGGGTGACGGGGGGCCTCTGCAAACTCGAGAGCATTTCTCAACGGGCCGTCTTGTGTTGTGATGACATGCTGCAGCGGAGCGGGGCCGGGATCCCCGCCGTGATGCCCTACTCGTCCTATCAACATCAATATGCTCCCGCTGCGGACGATGCAAGGGCCTTTGGTGGCTGAACGAGTGCGTGCTGCCGCTGCTGCTGCTGCTGCTACATCAGTGACGATGGCACGCTGGGAATCGGTCGACATTTGACGTTTTCGGCTCAGGAAGGTTACACGGCGGGTGGGATGAAAAGCCGAAGGATTCCGTCATGAGAGCTCTCAACTTTCGAGTGCCTTAGGTAATCCTCACCAACAGCAACCCCCCCACTTTCGGGTGATTATGTAAGACACGGGGAACCGGAGACTTTCGGCCAAAGGCAGGGCCGCCGGTGGTCGTTGCTGTGCAATCGGGTTATCGGGATAAGCCGGGCTGCACGGGCCACAACCAAGCTCCACAGTGTCAGAGCTCCCCCAACGGAACGAATTCGGAGGTGATGGAACTCCTGTTAATTATTGAGCCGGCAAAAACGAGACCTTTTTTTTCTCCTTCCTCTCGTCCTTGGAGATCTTTTTGGTTAATCTGGCAATAACTTCACGCACTTCTTCTCGTCACCCCTCGAGGTCTTCACGCTTCAATTGGCTCCGTATAAGCTAGAAATTGCGACTTAGACCGCCGTTTCTACTCTCCAAGACCCTTTCTCCAACTACCACCACCAGACCAAAAAAAAAAAAAAAAACGCCCGCCATGCTTCGATCGGCACCAGCTCGTCGCGCCGCTTCCGGCCTGGCGAACACACGGCTTACCGTTATGCCGAGGACATGCGCAAAGAGCCTCTCCACATGCTCGACCCGATACACCTCCTCTTCCCCCGCAGCTCTTTACCCCGCGACGAACTCCAGATCAACAAACCTCACCAGCCCTTTCTCCCTCCAGAGAAGCATTCACACCACTGCTCCCAGAATGGCCGGAACCCGTACCGAGAGCGATGCCTTTGGCGAGATCCAGGTCCCCGCGGACAAGTACTGGGGTGCTCAGACTGAGCGTTCCCTCGAGAACTTCAAGATCAACCAGCCCCAGGACCGCATGCCGCCCCCGATCGTAAAGGCCTTTGGTATCCTCAAGGGCGCTGCTGCCACCGTCAACATGCGCTACGGCCTCGATGAGAAGGTTGGAAAGGCCATCCAGCAGGCCGCCGCTGAGGTCGCTGAGGGCAAGCTGCTCGACCACTTCCCCCTCGTCGTCTGGCAGACCGGCTCCGGCACTCAGTCCAACATGAACGCCAACGAGGTCATCTCCAACCGCGCCATCGAGATCCTAGGCGGCGTCCAGGGCAGCAAGAAGCCCGTCCACCCCAACGACCACGTCAACCGCTCCGCCTCCTCCAACGACACCTTCCCCACCGTCATGCACATCGCCGCTGTCCTCGAGATCGAGCAGGAGCTCATCCCCTCCCTCAAGAGCCTCCGCGATGCTCTGCAGAAGAAGGTTGACGAGTTCGACGCCAAGCAGATTATCAAGATTGGCCGCACCCACTTGCAGGATGCTACCCCCCTGACCCTCGGCCAGGAGTTCTCCGGATACGTCGCCCAGCTTAGCCAGAGCATCAAGAGAGTCGAGTCCTCCCTGCCCGACCTGCGTCAGCTTGCTCAGGGCGGTACCGCCGTCGGCACCGGCATCAATACCTTCCAGGGCTTCGCCGAGGGCATCGCCGAGGAGGTCTCCAAGATGACCGGCACAAAGTTCGAGACCGCCCCCAACAAGTTCGAGGCCCTCGCCGCCCACGACGCCATCGTCCAGGCCCACGGCTCCCTCAACACCCTCGCCGCCTCCCTCTCCAAGATCGCCCAGGACATCCGCTACCTCGGCAGCGGCCCCCGCTGCGGTCTCGGTGAGCTCAACCTCCCCGAGAACGAGCCCGGCAGCTCCATCATGCCCGGCAAGGTCAATCCCACCCAGTGCGAGGCCCTCACCATGGTCTGCGCCCAGGTTATGGGTAACCACGTCGCTACCACCATCGGTGGCATGAACGGCCAGTTCGAGCTCAACGTCTACAAGCCCCTGGTCATCCGCAACCTCCTCCACAGCGTCCGCATCCTCTCCGACGGCATGCGCTCCTTTGAGAAGAACCTTGTCGTCGGTCTCCAGGCCAACGAGGAGAAGATTGCCAGCATCATGAAGGAGTCGTAAGTCACCGTTGTTGTCAACAGTATAAATGGGTCTATTTGCTAACACTTCAACAGCCTCATGCTGGTCACCACCCTCAACCCCAAGATCGGCTACGACATGGCCTCCAAGGTCGCCAAGAACGCCCACAAGAAGGGCCTCACCCTCAAGGAGTCCGCCCTCGAGCTCAACGCCCTCTCCGAGGAGGACTTTGACAAGCTCGTCCGCCCCGAGCTCATGATCGGCCCCAGCGCTTACAAGCAGTAGAGGCGAGCACTGACAACCGGTCGTGTTGAATGATGTTGTTTACTTGTTGATATAAAGTGGAGAGCTAACCCAAACCCACGCCTTGTGTAAAACTACCTTGCGTAACGATATCCTGTTACCTGTGAAAAGGGAAACAATGCGGTCTTGAGCGATCCGTGTTTGTAGAATTGAAATCGTAAAAAAGAAACATTTTCAAAAACATCCCAGATTTCGCACATTGGCTTGACCCCGCCATTTCACATGTGATGTAATCCCGTACCCCGCACATCGCGTGCCGCGCGCCGCATGGCTGTCAAGAAGCTGTCTCATCGTTCGGATGGAAGGATTCATCTCGCATATGTGAGCTTGAGCGCAGCTCCATCTCAAAATCTCCAGACGACGTCTCCAGACGACGTCTGTCGTCTGTGGGAGTTCGCCTGTGCACCTCAAGGTAGAGTATTCAGGCACGGTCACAGGCGCTCATGGCCCGGCGCAAGCGGGGAACCTACACCGATTGAAGATTACCTTTTCGACAAGCACATCTCGTAAGAAACCGTGAGCCGCGAAGAAAGGCTGGACCACTAGGGCTTGAGTTTCGTGATAATACCGTACGAGTTGCTGAATCGAGACGGGTGCTGCCCCGGTCTAGTACTGCCATTGGTTGAACGGAGACTCGGGGGCCGGCAACGACTACGCAATCATCCACGGCGCCGGGTCTGCCGCCGCGGTCGACCAACCCCCGCCTCCCGCCTTGGCCGGCAGACTATGACTTGAGAAATCCCGACGTCGAGTTGACAAGTTACGCGTAGCTTGAGCCACTTTATTGTGGTAGCATTCGTAGGTGGTTCGTTCAACACTGCCGTTGCGTGGTTTCGGGTCTATTTTGGAGTTTCCGAACGTGCCTAAAGTCTTTCTCTAATTTCGCCCTATTTTGAGATTATTCATAAGCGGATATAAGGGAAATAAGGTCGGATTGTAGACTTTTTGCCATTCCCCTTATCAAAGTACGTACCTATATGCTGACGCTATCTAGCAGTTGATGGGATACAAGAATGAAGATTTATGTCGACGTCTTGTCGATGCTTTATTGCCAGCCTCCTCCCTCCCTTAGTGAATACTCTATCGTTTGGAGAGGGATGCCAATTTCAAGGAGGTTCTCCAGCGTCACATATTTCAATAGGTGCCGTGGCATAGATGCTTGCCAAAGAGCCTTTGCACAATTCGGAGGACGAGATATAAGAATCATCGGATCGAGCTTTAGTTCCTCGATCAAATATTCAACCATCTCTACACGCCCTCGAGTGCAGCAGCTCCCAGAGTGCTTCCGAAAACTCCCGCATATGAGTTGTTCGCATCATAGCCAAGCTCTTCAATGAGGATTCGGCTGCATTTTACTGCACCTACAAAAGCTGCTTCAACCAGGACCTTTCCCCGCTTGTTCTTCCATGGCTCAAGATCAATTCCATTTTTCAAAAGCAATCTGAATGTCTCATCTTCGTCACATTGGAGGGCAGATAGTAGACAGCATCCGGCTATGCCACTATTGCAGGGAAAGTTTGGGTTTGCTTTCCAATCTAACAATGTGGAGAGGATCTCAGTGGAATCTTCTATCCTATTGACGAGGCATAGCGGTGTATGATACCGGTGATAGTTTGGGTCCGCTCCCCTCGAAAGAAGAAGTTGAAGGGTGCTGAGACGACGACCGTAGCATGCGTGATGCAGTGCAGAAAAGCCTACAAGTCGATCACGATTGCTCATATCGTGTCTCAGTGTATTGATCTTTGCCCCATGATCCAGGAGAAATGAACAAATTTCACTGTGCCCATGCCCGGCAGCAATGGACCGCAAAGAATCTCCTAGGTAATTGTTTTGCGTAAGATCATACCCAAGTCGGTGCAGATGTTCCAGCAAGTCAAAAGATCCTAAGTCGCAAGCTGCAAAGATAGGGTTGTGCCATGGCTGCATAGCCTCACGACCATGCAACAGGCACTCTCTCCTCATAGTCCACTTGTCATCCAGGGCAGTTTGATTTCGAAAGCTCGAAGTATCGGCAGTTTTACCAAGGCTCAGACAATATCCCAGAACACCCGAGATTTCTTTCGTCTTGGGGCGTTGTGTGTATATTCTCCTGACGAAGGCTTGCCAGTGTTAACGAGCGTAGACTCCGAAGTGGTTTAAGGGCGGTCTGGCACAGTCTGCCAAAGAAGCCAAATCGTAAGCGGGCACAGCAAGATACCTCATTTCTTCGTGCCGACCACAATGGGGAGACTGGCACAGGGGCGAATGGCATAGCGATGTTGCCAATGGTTGTCACCCAAGCTACAACTCGGTTTGCATAGTCTCTCCATAGAACCTTTCGTTCGCCGACATCCAGTCCTGTGTTGGCATCCTTGTATGTTTCTTGTTTGCGCCTACTGCTATCCGTATTGGCAGCCAAAAGCTCCGTATTGTGTATCCGTATAGAACACGGCTACAGTATGTACTAGTCACCGGTATACTCTTTGAGGTAAATATCAAGGCCTCAAGGTCATGATACATACGTGGGTATCAGTTGTTTCGTTGCATCCGAATCATGGGTGAAAACTACTGAACGGTCAGTGTAGTGAAGTCAAACGATCTGTGTTCCTGGATTCTACCCACCCACAGAGTTGAAGAAAGAGGGGTTGGGCCTCAGCAAACATCTCTGCCGCCCCGGAATAGTGGTTGGTTGGCCCAAAGTATGCTATCCATAAGTCTTGTTAACAAAGGCCGTTGCCGCTACTCGAAAGGGTGAATAGTATATGAGATGCTGTGGCATAAGGTATGTTCCTGTGCTCGATTGCTTACCATAGTGATATGAATTGTGCCAAGTTCGCCAGGTCAAGCCAAAATTATAAAGTCGATTGAGCCTTAATACACTCTGCTAACGGCCGTGGTCGCTTAACTAGATGCCACGGTTATAGTGGGGAAGGCCTAATGTTATATCACGGTGAACTTGGCGTGTCCACGTAGCACTTTGATGTGCCGTCGTTATCGAGATAATGCAAACCCCTCCTATTGCCTTATGACGATTGACTTCCTCTTCAGATTCAGATTCTGAGGAGAAGATCTAAATGCCGCCAAATTTTATAATCTGTCTTATGCTTGCTCCATGTTAAGTAAACTGCAAGTATTGTGTGTTCTTCTGGCGCCCAGGGCAAAGGACACATTTGAGTCCGTGTAATGAATTGATGTGGTTCGGAAGGGGGCAATAGTATTAGACAGAGCTCCTTTCCTAAACACAAACCACATCTTCCATCAACCTGACAAGACGGAGCATCAAGGTCTTCGAAGTTTGACGCTGGTCAGCTATGGATCTCGCTAACCGACGAGATATTAAACCCTACTTCCTCGACCTTTCTCCGATACTCCAGCTAGGTAGAGATATAACTCTAGCCAAGTCTTCTGAACCATCCCAGATTTCTGTTCATTTCATCCAACTATCAAACACTTCTGTTTAATCAAAGATCAAATCAATCAAAAGCAAAATCTCATCGCCCACAACCTACAACATGGCATCAAAAGTTACCCTCGTCTTCCAGCACCTCGCCATGCCCATAGTCAAGGCCCTAGCCGCCCCAGCTCCCACGGCCAGAACCCATAACTCGCGTCACTCCTCAACCACCGGAGCCCTTAACAAGAGGCGAACCCATTTTGAGTTCCGCCGCTCCCTGAAAACCTCGTCAGAGTCGATTGCGAAAGCGCTCGAGAAGCCGAATACACCTCCCAACCCCGGTAAATCCAAGCTAAGCATTTACAATTGCCATCATCTGGCGAGCGGCAAAGAGACCTTCACGTCTAGCCTCCTCGACATAGCTAGTCCCCTACGAAGAGTCAAGGCTCCCGGACCAGGCTCCAACAACATCAACAAGACCAAGTCGATGCAGAGCGCAATCATCACAGCCTCGCCAACAAAGATATTCGCCATCAGAAAGAAGTTCTCCAGCGGCTGTAACCGGACTCTCAAGATGGCAAAGAAAGTAAATGCCGTCTCCATCATGTGGAAAGTCGCCGGCTTGACAACCCTCCTCTCCCTCGGAAGCTACGGCGCCGTCTGGCAATATCAGGCCATGTCGGAGGCAGAGGCCAAAAAGAAAAGAATCGCAGAGGAAGGTGAGGCTTGGGAAAAATACAAAGAGGAGGTGTGGGATGGAGAACATTCCATATCGCCTGGTTGGGCCGTATTCAATGATGCATCGTATCCCTTCGCGGTGCATTACTCATAAGGCATTGGTGGGGTGGGTGAGTCGAGAAATGTGGAAGTATGGAAGGGCCAGCGGGCCCAATATGCTTGATGGTGTTTAATACTTCTATCGCTTTTAGTTTTAATATGACAAAGTTGAAGGTCTACTTGTACGCCTTGCGACGTATGTCTCGTGTGTGGCCAACACCTCTCGTCCATCCTGTAAGGGGCCTCCAGTCGCTTCCACATCAAGGAGAAATCCAGTGAGATTAGCACTCAGCATCATCCGGTGATTTGGCAGGGTCTGAGATCAACGTAGTCAAAGTGAAAGACAACCCCCCCCCCCCCCTCCATTGATTCCACGCACGTATAAAGCAGCAGATCAGCTTGACAAATGTCAATAGCCCACCTTCTCTCGAGACTTCACCCCACAGCTTGTGACCGATTCATCTCCCCTACGCATCAAGTAAGAATCCATAAAGACACCCATCTCCTCTACTAGACTGCCGTCCAAATCACCTCGCATCCAATCCCCACCCCGTCTCCTCTGAATAGGATAACGACAGAAAGCAGTTACAAGCGGGTACGATGAATGATGGCTTGAACTTCATACTCTCCGCATAATTATCAATCACTCCATAACCCAAGACCTGTCACTTTACCCCTTACCACCCCAAAAAGCACATATCCGTATTCCACTCCGCCCATCGTCACCAACCACAACAAAGCGACGACAACTTCACTAAATAGAAAAGTGAGCTAAAAACATACAACACCAGGTATTCGCTGGTCGTCACCGACCCAACTACTAATCCGGCCCTCATTGGCTTATCTATGGGAGAGCGGACGGGATCCCGAGTTTTCCAATGGGTATGGTCGTATGTGGTAGTTTGACGAGGACGAGGAGCTGATATCGTAAGATGGAGGGGGGGTTTTTCGGTGGGCGGCTGGCCGACACAACAACCCAAGAAATAGTCAATGGGAGTTCTTTTCTGAGAAAATGAGTAACCTTCTGATTTATTACTATCATAAGAAATTGGAGGGGGGGGGGTGGTGGGGAGAGAGATCGGGGACCTTTCAGATACGACCTCGTGAGGGGCGTAATGATAGCCCACGGTTCACACTTTCGACGGACACAACATCCGTTTGTATTTCGCCAATCCCTACCTTTGCCAACTCTCTGTCGATACCTTTTTTTGGAAAAAAAAAAAATGAAAAATGGCCATGGCAGGTGAATAAACGCGCGTTCGAGCTTCAATCATCGCAGGAATAGTTCGATGGCTCTTGTAGTCTGCTTCTTGAAGTGCCCTCGTATTCTAAACTTCGAGCCGCACTACCGAGGCGGGAAATCAAATTCCGGCTTTCGTCAACGACAAGAACATTCAATGTAGTTCCTTTCATTCCGATGGCCATCTATCGAACTCTGAACCCGGGAGGTGGGAGTGGGAGCGGTTGATAGCATGAGGTTGTCTAGCTGCGCCGTCGTTGCCGCTCCATCACATGACCCGGCTCCGTCTTTTGCCAACTACTTAACTTACGACGGCGGATCACGGCACTTCGGCAAACGTCTCTGTAGACCGCGCCGTAGTAGCCGCTATCTATCCATCAACACCTATCAGAAGGCTGGGCACGCAGACCCGTTGTAGTAAAGTCCATCTCCGTTGAACGTTCTGCGCGAGCATTTTTGGCAGTTGGCTGTTACTTGACTACGGCCAATCCGACTGCTGTTCGAAGTCCAAGTATACTGGCATTTGAGGTGGCATTTGAGGTGGAAACCGAACTGCAGACACAGTACCTGGAAACCCCTCTCTCCTGTGCTCTCGACCACTGGTACCCAAGCCTAGTCCTCAACCGTGCCCTCATAGTTTGATATCCAAAAACCTTCCCCATCAAGGTAAGTTGCAAGACTTCGGATTGAATAGATCAGCCCAAGCTTGGAGAGTCTGGTTCCTCTTCGGTGTCCGTCACTCCGACGCTCACCGACGCTGTGTGACGCCGTCTCAAACAAAGAGCCTTCCATCTCGTCGTGAAGCTCCGACATAGGTTTAACTCAGATCCCTTCCCTGCCGCCATCAGTGCCCACATATCAAAAAGCGTAAGAACTCGATTTAGTGTTTATGAATTTTTCTTGTTTTTTGTTCATGCCGTTAACCAGCGCCGCGCTCAATACTAGTAAGAAGATGGTATCGCAATGTCTAGTAATCACATTAAAAGTAGTCCGTGAGTCCGGATTGTTGTTGTTTTCTGTTTTTTCTTTCGTTGCCCTTCTTGGATTAAACCAATCACCATCAAATCATGGTCTGAGTTCCTCAGCATCCTGCGCCTCTTCATCGTGATAAGGTACCGAGTCACATCGGAAAGATGGTGTCTTGCATGCCTTCTCGTCCACCTCTAGCCGGATCACTCCTTGCGGGTCATAGTGCTGGCGTACTCTGAGCTTCTTGTTAGTCTATTGCACGATGCAAAATGTGTCAATGGAAATGAACCCACCCTTGGAAGGTAGTACCGACAAACTCCAGCACCAAAAGGACGAGAACCAGTGCGATGACGGCGCCAAGAACAATCAGATCGGGATGCTGCTCAAAGATCCTCATCGTCGGCCGGGTGATGTGCTTCCAGCACGGCAGACGACCAGAAGGCAACAGCTCCGCCAATCCATCCTTGAGCGACATTGGCGTGATCGTCTCGGGGGTTCCGTCGCCCACAACGTCTACTACTCTGTCCTTGCCGCGAGATGCCGGGTGCCTTGACAGGGACTGAAGGTAGGTGGTTTTCAGGGGTCGCGGTGCCGCGAGGACGATTGACGGGGGCATGTCTTCTGATGGTGTTACTGGCTCGTTGTTGAACTCGGTTTCGATGTCATAGACTTCAGAGACGGGTCGTGTGCGGTGCATGGACACGCGTGTTACCCTTGTTAGACGACGTGCCTCGGTTCTGACGTGTGAGACCATATCTGAGATGGTAGATGGAACGGGAGCAGCCAAGCTGAACTGGGTGAAGCCCAGGGCGAAGAGTAGTGATGAAGGCTTCATTTTGTCGGTGGTTAGGTTTGGTGATAAGTGATGGTGGTGTATACACGAAATTGGTGTTTTGGTGCGCGAAAAGATGCCGTCTGTGTCGTCGTGTCTTTCTCGATCCTGGTTCTCCGAGAGATAGATAAGACTTAGACTCCTCGTCTGGTAATCGATGTTCCACGATGGTCGTCGACGTCGAAGTAATTCCAACCACAAGGAAAGCCTCCTGACTTCTTCTTCTTTGTCTCCTCAACGAAGTAGGTCGTTCAAGTTGGTGCAACTGGCCTAACACGTGCCTATGCTGGCTGTCGACTCCAAGTACTATTGCTTCTGTGACAATTTCACCAATGTTCTCAAGCCAAGGCGGTATCCGGCAAGCTGCAGTGGTTGTAAACTACCAGCGGTGGATATGGTGGTTCAAGGTGGAGGGCAGCGGTGTTGTATTGAGATGCTTGAGAGGGTGCGGGGTGTGCCGAGACGTGAAGGAATATATGTCCAGGTCTGGGCAAGCCAATTTTTAGAGGAACAGAGATCCGGTGACAGCGGCAGGGCAACCGGAGACAAGTCGAGGCACGGCGCGAAACCGAGCGCAGAGAAAAAAGTCAGCGTAATGGAGGGCGGGAAAGCTCGCAGGCGAGTGAAACAAAACAAGTAACGGGCTCTGGTGTGTTCCCAAGTTGTGAGGAATGAAGAAGATGGGACGAGGCGGCTAATGGGAGGTGTGAGACCCCGAGTGCAGCGAAGAGGACCGGAAGGATAGACAGCTGAGAGCAGAACGGAAGAGGGAGGTGTTCGTGGGATTTGACGTGCCAAGGCGAGCGAGGTCTGAAAGTAATATAGGAAGAATAAGAGACACACTCTCGACTCGTCTGGAGTGAGGAGAGATGGGGTCTGATCTGAAATGGGACTGGGTATCCGTGAGTAGCTGCAAGTATGTTTGTGCAGTTGACCAGAGGCATGGGGCGGGTGAGGTGGTAATGTTATTATGTATGATCCAGAGGACAGAGACAGAGAGAGAAAGGAGAGCAAACCCAACTTTTACGCATTGGGATTAACATGACATTAGCTTCACCCAAGACGGCGGCGTTTCTGTTCGCACCCTTTTGCCCTCGCTCCGCCTTCTCTCTTTCTCTTTCTCGACCTAGCTAGGTGGCCCAGCCAGCCAGCCATCAAGGGCCCAGGGCCATGCTCGTCCTCCTTGTCCTCGTCTCTCTCAGATCCCCTCTGGTCTGTTCTCTGCTTTCCCTCACAAAAAGCGGGTGCTGGGGGACCGGCCGCTGTCCCCCTCTGCCTTCGGGCGGCAGGCCAGGACCAGGATCTAGGCTCAACCAGGGATGCAGGGATGGTCTGGACCCTGTGGGCTGCGGTGCACCCTGTTTAATGCAGCAGGTGGGTGTCTCGATTCAAACATGGTCGGCCTCAAGCTTCTTTTCTCTCCTAGATTTTGCCAGGGCCTGTCCTGGACGGATTGAACCGTACAAAGTGCCAGCACACACATGGCTGATGCTGTTGACACAGTGGCATGGGCGGCATCAGTCGAGGAAGTGCGCCCTAGAACCGTTTGTCTTCAAGCTCCGGCCCCCCAGTGTGAAGAAGCAAAGGCGACTCGCGAGTGATTTGCTGCTGCGCTCTCTCCGAAATAGACAGATGGGATGGGATAGGCACGCACGGAACGGCGACGGCAGCGGCACACTCAAATGATGACTGACTCTAGAGGTCTGTAACAAGAACGAGGAGAGAGCCTGCCGAGTAGCCGATCTCGAGCGCTATGTTCTGGCGATCTTCGTTTCTTTGCATAGAGTTGATAGGCCCGCGGGCCTTGCGGCTCTGGTTCTTGTCTGCATTCTTTTCGGTACCCGGTTTGCTCGGCCCCCTTCATCACCCATCATCGGTGAAAATGCAAAAGTGAGATGCGACATGGAGGGCCACCTCGAGCACAACTCCATCACCGTGAGAAACTCGGGTTCCAAATCTTTCTCTCCTGTATCCCGATTTAGGATCGAACGAACGAGGTTGGCAAGTTGGAGCCAAGGTGGACGCGGGGTGAGCTGGATCGTCTGCACTACCACCTCGCCCAAACCCAAAAGGCGCGTTAGTTGGCGGGTTGGCAGACAGGCAGGTTTGGTGAAGTCCCCTGGATTTTCCCTTCCGTTGCAGCTTGCCCATGTATTTCGGGGGCTCTTGCAGACCGCAGGCGCAGGGCACCCACCCGACGTTTACCAGGGATGGCAAGTGTTTGTACGGGCAGCGCAAGGGGCTGCGGGATTCGAGGAACGCGAGAGGAAGATGGATAAGGAGGAGAGACAGACTTCATCGCGAGAATGAGAAACCCCAACAACCTGGCAGAATCCCAGAGACTCCAGAGTGCAAGTAACGAGAAGTCAATCCCTGCCAGCAGATCCCATGTGTCACGGCCGAAGGCCGGACGGGGGGTTCCATGCGTGCATTTTGTTGTCGACCGAGGTTGAGAAGAGACGAAAGACATGAAAGAGAAAAAAGGCGCCTCCTTATGGAGTCTGTATGGATTCCAATTGGCAATTTAGGGGAAAGACTCGACGTTTGCCGTCACAGGCTGCGGGTGTGAAGCCAGGTTGTCAACTCAAACTTCCACTCTGTCGTCTCGTCTAACTATGCCAATGATTGACGGAGGAGGGGACAGACATAAGAAGAGGCGCAGGAAGGTAACATGAAGAGAGAATGAACAAAGTAAGCTATTGAAGCTGAAAATGCAAGCCTGCGTCTGCAAGACTACCTCGATATGTCTGGTCAGCCCAACTTCTGCACTTTACTTTCGCCCACCCGTGTAAGCGATGCCCCCATCTGGACGGCACATTGCCCGATTGTGTCCTATGATTCGTGGGTGTGCTTTCCCAGCTGTGCTCCCCCCAATGATTCCCACCTTCCCTGCAATAGTTTCAATTGAGACTGCAGCTTCCCTCGCAGGCACAACAACTTACTGGCAGGACCATAGGACTGTAGAGTACCTCCCGTACTTACCCAACCTACCTTAATATGCCGACAAGGTACTCCGTACTTGTTCAATGTACCATGTATCACTCTGTACCATGTATTACTCTGTACCCTACGGAGTACACAGGCAGGTACTCTGTCCGAACATTCGTACCTGAGGAAGTGATTCCCACTCCCCATCTCACAGCGCCACAAAATGAAAAGGAAGAGAATCAAGCTTTCCTCGACTGATCCCTCGCACCTTGGCCAACCCCCAGTGCCCCCCGTCTGGATCCTCCAGGCCCCTCAGCTCTCATTTCCCACCTTCTGCCCGTCCACAAGTGCCAACGGGAGCACGTGGGCAAAGCTGACCCTGTGCGAGTCTTGAATCTCAACTTATCGCAACAGATGGTAGCGATCAAAGCCCACCAGGAGCTTTTCCTTTCTTGGCGATTTCAAGACGTACGAGAGAGCGAATCACATAATACTACCCCCCGTCGTGGCTGGACTTCCCACAGTGTCCTTCTCATGAATCTCCAGCTCCTTGACTCTTAACCCTGGAGTCATTGCACCAGAATAGGTACCGCCGCGTCCAGCCACAGCCCAGCGACACCCATGGCATTGAATCTCGCGGGGAGAAAAGAAAGGAAAAGACCAAAATCACGACCAACAATAACGAAGGAAAAGAGAGGATCACGCAAACCGACCCCTTGCTTTCCCGCAGCTGAAAAAATATCCGGCATCCACCGAGACCACAGAGATGAAGAAGACGGAACCCAGTCAATCAGTGTCTCCCAAGCCACAATAATGGACGCTGACTATTCGGCCTATTTTCCCTCCATGGCCCCCAGGTATTAGTCCACGGCACGCCTTCCCACGGAAATGGGGCCATGGAATTGCGCACGGCACACGAGATCCCGCCTCTCCTCTACGGATAAAGCTATGGACTATAGCGCACTTTTCACCTGCTTGTCCGCGGTCGCCGTCTTTGCCAATGGTTTACGGGGTATCCGTCAGATACCCAGCAAATCAATCATCACCTTGGATCGTATGCCGATGGCCCTTGTCGATTTGGCTTGTCTAGGATGCTTAGTCAAGCCTCCGTCCACCCAGCCAGTTCTCACGATGCTTGGCGCTTCCGTGGCTGCAAACTCGTACAGACGAAATTGCACCCAGCTGCGCCATATCCCACGGATATGCACGCAGCACGCCGCACACAACGGCCATTCAACCAGCGCCAAGACACTGCCTCTTCCCAGAAATGAAGGGAGCATGTCAGCAACAGTTCAATCGTCAGCAATGATCTTCTCGTCCATGCAACCATCGAGTTGCTCTGGGGCTGGGACGGGGCAAAAGTTCCAAATCAGCTTCCTACACTTTACGGATGCCTAGGTACGCCAAAACACCATCATAACAACACCAGTGAACGCCTAATGCGACAGTTTCTCTGTCCAGTGCCAGGTGGGAGTTGGCGCCAAAGGCAAATCGCAGCTGGCGAACCCAAGCAATGGATCGACGCCAAGGATCCACTGATTAGCGCTCTGGTTCCATTGCTTGGACTTCTTTTTTGGAATCACCACACCACAGGTGCGGCGGATGCCGACATAGCTTATACCAGCCGCCATCAAATAGTGTGCACATTCGCCATTTTGGTTGCAATGTGGTGACTGAAGACCACCGCGGAGCTGTCTCTCTTATTTGGGAGCATCGCCGGCTCGTCGCCAGGGTCACAATCACAGGGTGACCACGACCAAATGGAGCAAGCATTGACGAACAAGAAACACGAAATCCTCGTCCTAGGAAGTTGGAACCTGCCCTCCTGTGAGTTTTGCGACAGTTTCGTTCCATTGCAACCGAGGCCCACATCGGCAGCAGCTGCGAAACCCGCTTCTTCTTGCCCTCCATGGTGAGGTAGTCTGAACGTCAAAACGGTTTCAACAGATGCCCTCAGACCAACCCACAGTCAATGGGCACGCAAAAGCACGGGATGCCATGGGAATGAGACTTTGATGGACCCCGAACCCGCATACCTCTGGCTTTGCCAAGCGCGTCCGGCAAGACTTGCAACAAGAAAGCAACGTTTTTAACCATGGAGGTTGAGCCGAATTGTCGCAGATCGCCCGCTCGTTGATGTCATGTTGCTCTCGTGCCTGAGTTTGAAGGGAAGGGGGATGAGGGATCGTCGATGCCAGCCCTGACTCTCTCTCAGAATCGTCCCATCGAGCTGATGGTGAGGCTATTCGCACTAGTGCCGTCGAAACAGCAGTACCTAGGTAACTCGAGCCCCTTGGGCCAGAGTCAGATCTGAGCTGGTCCCATTGCCTAAAGACCCTCCCAGCAACACCCACTGTACTCCGTACCACTGCCCTTAGCATCGCTCAGCACAAGGCAGTGTGGGAGCTCTTCCGGTCGGCCCGCTAAAGTTCCAAAATAAGCAGTCCCTTCCAGGCGAACTCTCAGTCTTCAGGGCGCCCACCGGGCATGCCTGCCATCGCTGCAGCCTGCCACATTTCAAGCCTAGTCCCTGTAGGGCGCGCCGAAGAGTCTGGACCACAAGATCTTGACCATGCCAACGCGGAGGGGCATGGCACGGGAAGGGGCCCAGAAGACTGGTAACAGCACGAAAGGGGGACGGTGGACAACCTAGGTATATCCGCTTGGATCTAACACTTGCAGACGAGCACACGACCTTTGACTTGACCACGAAAGCGACACAGGACAATGTCCCCCTTGACTGACTACGGGGTGGACGGTAATATCCATTCAGCCCTCAGGAACGCAGCATGAGGGTCTATTCCAGTGGGACAGCCAATCAACCAGGGGACAAGCAGCGAACAAGCTTTGTGCCGGTGCGGGCCTCCCTGCAAAGAAATTCGGGGCCATCTAGGCAGACAGAAATGAGACTGCCCGGCTTCAAAATGCTTCTGGAATTGCTCTTCGTATTCCGTCGCGCACAAGGGTTTGGCGGGGAACGGTGTTGCCGGCGGTACCCTTTGAGCAGAGGCAGGCGGTGCCGCGGTGCAGAACATGGCGAGGTGGAACTCCGTTGAGAGGCCCCGTTTCTCTCAGAAATCGGGCACCTGTCGGATGCTAGTGCACCGCTAGCCTCGTGGTCAGGTCACTACTGCGCAGTAGGTGTGGTGTCGTTGTACTGGTGTTGGACCGTGATGGTGGTGGTGTTGAGAATCCGGGGCTTGGGATGCCGCGGGTCGCGATTCTGGACGTATTCTGATGCATTGTTGACAGCACTTGGTGTCTTGCATGGCCACGGAAGGCTTGGAACGACGGTCGACGACATTCCCCTATTCCAGGGCTCCATGGGTCATGGACGCGCAAGCTACCGTGGTATTTGGGTTTCCAAGAGGATGGGAAAGTCTCCGAATACTGGGTTGTCGTGTGTCAAGAAGGGGCCGCGGATCGTAAGTGGTTCATGACGGAAGCTGCGTGTGTCCATGACAGCGTCATGAAGAAAGTTGGTTAACTCAATTTAGCTTCTAGGTAAGGCGAAGGCGGACGCGGACGCGGATGTAGACGCAATTCGTGGTAGGGTTGGGTTTAGGCATGCATCTATGTATGCCTTCCTAGATCCGTCCATGATCCGTCCGCGATTTGTCCGCTCATCCATGAAGGCTAGGTACTACTGCGGGCGATGCTTTGGGTAATAACCTTTACTTTTGTCTTCCAAGTTCGGTGATGGTTCCGAGACTTTACGGAGTACTACGTACGGAACTACGGATACTCTACTCGGACAAAAGAAGAACTGAGCTTGAGGTAGCAACTGTGGTTGGATATTTCCCATATTTACTACCCTCCTTTTCGATATCATCTCGAGACAATAGTAAAGCGTAGTAAATGGAGCAACCAGATGCAGCAGCAGACACCTTTCCCTTGATGGACTTCGGAAGACGCTTCTTTCGGCCACCGACCAGTCTGGGTATCCTTCGTATGCACATCTTACTTGGTACAAAAAACAAAAAAAAAGGCTTTAGAAAAGGTTACCGAATCCAGCGACTTGGTCCGGGCGGCGCACCCTTGTCGAAATCGAACTGACTCGGCTACCCTTGGTGCACTTGGTCCCTTCCCCACTAATCTCCTTTCCCCGTCCGTGCACGCACCCTTTTTTTGTGCCCTCCCCTGGCGTGGTCTGGGCCCCCTTGGCACTTTCTTTCCCCTTCTACTGCCACTGCGACTGCCTTCCTGGCGCGCGCATTCTGTGTGGCTCCTACCAATTTGGTCTCCAGCCTTGCGCCGACTTCAGTCCATCCGCGACGGCGAGGCTGAGAAAAGGTCTCGGTCTCCAAACAAAGTCATCCATTGAGTCTTTGTACTCTTGTCGTTCCATTTCCATTGAAGCCCTCAACGGCAAAGCCGCGCCTAATGTCCCCGACAACACCAACGGACTTTGGCTCCTTCCCCCCGCCCCTCACACGCTCCTCCACCCTCCCGACGGCCCTCAGCACCGGCACCACAAACAGCAGCACCAACAACAGCACCACAAACTTCCACCAGCAGCGCCAGGACCGATCCCGCCTCGCTCCCGAGGATGCCTTTCTAGCCACCTCCCCGCCGCGCCGACCGGTGCCCTCCTTCCCCGACGTCTCCTCCCTCGGCGCAGACCACCGCGCCGCCCGCGCACGCCTCCGTCATAATGCCGCCTCTGCCGTCGGCGCCGCGGGCAGCCACCGCTCCCGCTCACGCCGGAGTCGCAAGCGGACGTGGAAGAAGCTCATGTGGGTGAAGCAGAGCTACCCGGACAACTACACGGATCAGAATACCTTTCTCGAGAGTCTCCAGCGCAATCCGCGCCTGCAGCCCTACGACTTTTGGCCCCTCGTCGCCGATTCGACGGTCATTGTTCAGCACGTCTGCTCCGTCATCCTCTTCATCGTCTGCTTCGTCCTCATATCCCAGGAGCGCGTGTCGCCCGTGTCCATTGTTTCGTTTAGCAGCATGGCTACGTTCTTGGGGTGGCTGCTGTGGGAGCGGTGGGAGGCCGACGAGGAGCGAAAGGAGCTAGGTCTGGCGGGCAGGAGCAGCAACAGCGCGACGGCCGCGGGGCGGAGGTTGGAGCCGAGTCGGAGGACGGGGAGTATGAGGCAGCGGAGCCCGCCCATGCACGATGATGGCGCTGTTGCTTCGTCTACCGCCACGACGGCCACGAGCTCCGCGACAAATCTCTCTAGTACCGCTGGCGCCGAGCGGCCTCGCCTGGCGCGGCACTCGCACTCCGCCTCCGCGAGCTCCCTCATCTCTTCCACCTCAGCGACCTCGCAGTCCGTCTACCGCCGCCACAGCCAAGAAGTCAACAGCAGCCTCCCCCTCCCGCGCCGCTCCTCCTTCCCCTTACCAGGCGACGACAACAGCCGCCTCAACCAGCGTCTCAGCACCGTCAAGAGCGCCATCCTCATCTACTCCACCCTCCTAGGCCTCTCCCCCATCCTGAAGTCCCTCACAAAGTCGACGTGGAGCGACAGCATCTGGGCCATGTCCTTCTGGCTCCTGACCATCAACATCTTCTTCTTTGACTACTCGGGCGGCGTCCGCGTCACCATCCCCGCCTCGCTGTCGACCAACGCGGCGCTCATGGCCTCGACGGTGCTCGCTTCGCGGCTGCCGTCTACGGGCCAGGTCTTTAGTCTCACACTGTTTAGTATTGAGGTTTTTGGGCTGTTTCCCGTGTTTCGGCGATATGCGAGGCACCGGAGCTGGGGATATAACTATGCCATGACGGTGTTTCTTGTTTTGGGGGCGGGTGCTGGTGTCGGGGTGATTGTGGGTGATAATGGCGGTTGTGCCGCTGGTGTCGGCATGTCCTGCTGGCCTTGGAAGGGGGCAGTGGCGGGCATGGTTGTCAGCGTGCTCATCTCTGCGATTGCGATGGGCGGGTGTAGTTGGTGGCTGATTGGGTTGCAAAAGTACAAGAATGAGATTTATGGGCCGTGGGACCCGGCGAGACCTATTATTATGAGTCGACGGCCTTGGGACGACGGTTAAAGAAAGGCTTTATGGATAGCGCAGATTAGGAAAATGAGAGTCAATGTGATGAGAGATGTTTACAAGTAAAGCAAGGAATGCCGAGTAGTGACTTTTGTTATTCGTGTTGACCTGGCTTGACTAATCAAGTGTACTGGATCTATGGTCTCGCGAGATAATGCAGCTTTTGGGGCCCCCTGTCATCTTCTGACTTCCCTTCTGCGACACTGTCTGGTTCATCCGACGCAGCATCATCTTCCACCTCCCGAGTCTCTGGTCCTTTATCCGAGGTTACGCCGTTCCATATTTGCCCCAAGAGAATGCCGCAGATCCACGCAGACGGATAGATACGTATACGCCGCGGACCACTCTTCCCGCCATCATGATCATGATCATGATCATCATCGGATAGGGTCCCTGGGGGCCGAGACTTCTTCGCGGCTTCCCTCAAGATCTTGTATTCACGCACTACATGCGCCCGGAGAACGTTCGAGGCATCGCGTTGCGATTTAAGCCGCCGATCCTCTTGGAATTGAGAAAGAACCTCTCGGGGCCAAGGGAGAAGCCCGCCGCGGAATGGGGGAGGGTTCTCTGAGAGTTTGTTGAACGCCCCTATTCTATCATTCAAATCGTTCGCGAGAACCATCAAGGCATCGGCTTGCGAGTCAAGGAGTTTACGCTGTCGGAGCGAGCTCTCGATTTGTGCGAGGTCCTCGGGGGTTCGAGAGGAGGATGATGATACTCTGTGATTCGGCCATGTGGGTTGAAAGGCTGAGATGAAGGTTGGCGTTGCGAGTGTAAGTGGTGTTTTCGTTGTTGTTGTTGTTGTTGTTGTTGTTGTTGTTGTTGTTGTTGTTGTTATTGTTGCTGCTGCTGATGGTGTACTTGACCATGAGTGTTGGCGGAAGAACGAGTAGAGTGGTTTAGGGCTGGGTGTGCGTGGGGGACCGTCGCGGAGGCTGTAGCGGATGTAGTTGTCCATGTCGGGGTGGACTACTTTGCCGTGGAGAGTTGGTGAATTTGAGAAGAGACGGGCTTGTGGGAAGGTTGTGGCTGTGAGAGACGTTGTGGTTGTAAGGAATTTTGTTGGCCTTGGGATTGCTTGGGGGAGTTGTCTCTGGAGAGAGCGGAAGAGTCTTTGAGAGACGTTGTTGCGGCGTTGTGAGATGTTTCTGTTTTGTGTTATTCGAGTTGTGTTTTCACTTGTTGAGGATGATGATATCGGATGTTCATCTGCGAGGAAACGTTTGTGTCTATCAGGGTAGGAGAGTACATTACGGAGATACCATGAACCTGAGGCTGGGTGTCAGAGTTTTTGGTATACCTTGATATCACGAGACTCATCTCCTTACTTAAACTCAACTTCGACGCCTGTACATTTGTCACCTGGCTCAAGTAGTGAGATTGTGACTTACGCGAAATCCAAATTTTGGGTTTCCTCGATAACCAAGGTACTCGGAGATCTTTTCTCACAAACTGTACGAACATTTTGTCTGCTTCGCTTCTAGGACGTGATGAAATACAAATTGATGGCTGGAGTATGGACGAGTGTAGTTTCGTGGATACTCATGACAGCTTTTGCAATGTTGTTTGAGGTGTTGGTCTATCTTCATATGGAAACGCGATGAAGTCAGGAACCTGTTCAACCCACCCAAAGACATGGACGTTATGGACACGGATGGAAGGGGGCGGCAGCGGGAGTCAAAGACCTATCTCCGAACTGTGCTGGTTCGGCGGTGATAAGGGGAATCTCTCAGCCTTGGGATGTATTGTAGTCTATGGGTGAGCGAGCAACACTAATGAAGGTTGATCCCAAGCTGCATCAACACTTTCGAGAATCATCATGTTCAACACTCTGCGACTCGTAGCAACACGGCTTTCCAGCCCCCCGACGAGTGGAAGGATGGTCTTAACCGCACTCAAGGCCCAGCCGAGAACCGCGAGAACTATAGAGCCACACAACCGCTATCTCATCAACGTCACAAAAACACTCACAGGACCTGATTCATCAGCACAAGACAGCCTTGGTTCCTCGTTTAGCGACAACCAAAGCAGATATGGCAGCCCTCACCAAGATAACCCATTCCGAGGCTTCATACGAGATTCGAGAAAGACCAAGATGGGCTACAAGTACGAGTCGCCCAGAAGGAATGCCGGACAACAAGTAACATCTCCGACCTCCTTCAAGTCGTATCTAGCATCCCTTAGGAATTTTAGAAGTCTATTCACGCAAGTCGTCGAGGTCCTTGACAACCCGAGAGAATATGCAATCAACCAATGGACAGATCGCGAGGAGGGTTTTGATGGGCTGCCGCAAGGCCAAGACGAGATTTTAAGACGGCTTCGGGCTGTGGAAAGGCGCCAGGAACTTCATACAAATATGGTGTATTGCGTTATGAGTGGGTTTGTGCTCGGGACTGCCCTTTTGATTATTGCGGCTGTTGCTGCTAGCGAGATCGGAGACAAGGGGAATAGCAAAAGAGAGCCAGCGGGAAAAGATGGAAAAGCTCACTACTAGGTAATGAGGTTTACCTGATATGAATGCATTCGCGGATGTACTAGATACCTGGGAAGCCTGCGAGACCGGAGAGCCTGTCAAGAGAAGCAAAGGCAAGAGAAGCACGGATCAAACATGCACTCATGCTGGTGGTTAGGGTGTCATAATAACAGTCACAGCATCATTCAAACATGATGAATACCCGCACAGAGTGTCTTGCAACATGTAGAAGAACATATGGCCGCGTATTTGGTTCATACCCTTCTATAGTCCGCCGTTTTCAGTTTGGTCGGCTGTTTGTAGCCTATTGATAACGGCGGATTGCACCGGGGCCGATGCTATAATATTCCAACGTCGGCGCCGAGGATGTTGACCGAGTTTACACCATTCATCCCTCCCAAGCTTTTAACCAAAAATTTTAACAATGCTCCATTGTAAATGCGGCAAGGAGTAAGGAGGCCGATCTCGCCTTCCTTCGTTTTGCGTCGGCTCTGTCCAATTCACGACGGGTTAATTCCTGTAGAGTACCATAAAAACTATGTTCCTATTCACGTCAAAAGGTACTGAACACTAGACGGGAGGAATCATTTTTGCCCTCCTCAAGTCTTTACACTCCAGCACTTATCACGAGGAAGCTTCTTTCCATTCGGTATGGCTTCTACACTTGCGGAATGTCCGCTAAGGGCCTGCGAGCTGTCGTATAATCTCGCAACCAGTCCTCAACCTGTTCCCAACGAAGCCACGATTCTGTCTTCAGACCAGAGCATATGCACAGATCATATGGTCGTTGCGTCCTGGAAGCATGGCGTCGGATGGTCCAAGCCTGAGTTGAAGCCCTATAGCCCGCTTAGCCTGCTGCCAACCGCGTCCTGCCTTCACTACGCTACCGAGTGCTTCGAGGGCCTGAAGGCTTATAGAGGCAATGATGGCATGCTCAGAGTGTTCCGTATCGAGCATAACGTCGCTCGTCTAAGAACCTCGGCCGCCCGGATTTCTCTCCCTACATTCGAACCCGAAGAGGTCAAGAAACTTGTTCTTGAGCTGTTATCGGTGGATGCTGCTCGCTGGCTCCCCAAAGAACAGGCTGGTGGTTTTCTTTACGTTCGTCCCACGATCATTGGTACTTCGCCTCAGCTAGGTGTTCAGGCGCCAAAGGAAGCAATGCTGTTCATCGTCCTGGCCTACATGCCTCGCCTCGATGTGCCGCCGGGGGGTATGCGGCTTTACTCGTCCCCGAAAGACGCCGTGCGGGCCTGGGCCGGTGGCTTCGGATACGCAAAGATCGGAGCCAACTATGGGCCTTCGATCTTGGTTCTGCAGGAAGCTAGCGCTCGAGGGTATCATCAAGTCTTGTGGCTTTACGGAGAAGATGGCGAATGCACTGAAGCTGGTGGGTGCAACTTCTTCGTTGTGTGGGTACGCAAGGATGGCAAGACGGAGCTTTTGACTGCGCCCCTGGATGATAAGACGATCCTTGATGGCGTTACGAGACGAAGTTGCCTGGAGCTTGCGAGGGAAAGGCTTGGCCAGGAGATTGAGGTCACAGAGCGCAAATTCACAGTCACGGAAATCATGGAGGCTGCATCTGAAGGTCGTCTCTTGGAGTCGTTTTCCGCAGGCACTGCTGTGAGTTTTTCTAATTTGCCGTGATACTGGACCCCAAGCACTGACGAAATTAGTATTTCATCTCAGCAGTTTCCCAAATTCACTATCGAGGGCATGATATCGATGTGCCAATGGGTGACGACGGAAAGGGAGCGAAAGTCACGACCACTATCAAAAGATGGCTCACCGAGATCATGTACGGCGATACTGAGCATCCATGGGCCACGGTTGTCTCTACCTCTTGAAAGAGAAAAGCTAGGAGTCGCAAGGGGGCAATTCACACTAGGATACGGTAGCTAGCTAGGCACAATAGACAATATATGGTATAGACTTGACGAAGTGATTACTGGCTGGCATCAGTTCCATCATTTTTGTTGTCAAGTTACGTCCAGGGCCTTGGAGGCAATGGCAGTTGGCACTATGCTAGCCAGAATCAAGAGTCGACGCTCCTGACCTGCTCGGCTCTGGACCGACAGAAGCTAATGGTACTCTCCCCATACAGAAGGTTCTATCTCAAAATCGCTATAACTGTTGCGGTGGGGGCAGGAAGCCTTCTTTTGAAGCCATTTGAATGCCCCGTAGCCATATCCGGGCCATTTTTTCATATCCTGTATCATTAGGGTGCGTCCCATCCGCCACTAAATCTTCCATGACAGGCCCATCGTTTCCTTGCAAGTTTACGAAAACGATTTTCCTTCCCCCTAGAGTCAAAGTGCGGGCTAATCTTTCCGCCTCCGTATTGAAGGCCTCAATCCGCTGCTGCACGGCCTCGTCCTGGTTGACTAGTAGGCTTGAGAGAATAATGGTCGAACCAGGCGAGGCATCCCAGAGGGTCTCCAAGAGGTGGCTAAGGCGGTCCCGTGCTTCTACCAATTTATAATCTTGTAAGCAATCGTTGGAGCCGGCGTTCACGGTGAAGACATGCGGCAAGTACTTCGCTGCCGCTACCCGCGCCCTGACCTCGATTTGGTCGATCCTATATCCCCGCCAGCCTTCATGTTCGTTGCTATGATGGGTGCCGGATTTACGAGATCCAACCATGCAAACGTTGAAGCCGTGGTCGCAGAGAAACTCGAATAGCTTCCTCCGATACCCGTTCTGATCAGAAGAGCCGACGCCGTGGGTAACTGAGCCCCCCAATGGCATTACTCGAAGCAAGGGTCGACACTCAGTTATTGAGCCAAATTCTGGAAGAAAGGGTTCAGTTTGATTGGCTTATGTCTATGTCATTATGCCAGAGACTTGGATGGAATCAGGGGTGGATGCATACATACTCGGTTGGGTGCAATGTGCGGCCTTCTGACGGTGGAAACCGCATTTGGTGGCCTGCGACAAGTAGCCGACATTAACCTTGCGCCCGAAGTTGTGCGGCATGAGGAACGTGAGGGAATGGTTTCTCAGGCAGAACTTGACAGGCAATGCAGAAAGAATGAACATGGGAATAATGGGAAACGAAACTGACGCACGTCGGTATCTCGTATTGGCGGTGCTGTGAGGAAAACTTGGCCCGCGGGGTCCGGGCAGAACGCTTTTCGCCGAACATGACATGTCTCGGCGGAGAGCTTAGTGGCCGGATCTTTGTTGCGATTCCTGATATCTCATCTATCTACATGCATATCTGGCCAGTAAATCCCTTGCGAGTGCTCCCCTCGAACAGCGCCCTCCAAGAACACTGGTTGGGACAGCAGCTCTTGCAACGACGGCTCTGGCCAAGGCACACCTGCTGCTGGCACTGTCCCATCTGGTAAGCTTGGATCAGTTTCCTGAGTGAGAACATCGTCGCAAGGCCCTCCTGCTCCATCTGACTGGGATGGGGTATTGTCTTTTAGGTGCGACAATATCGTCGACTCCATCACTTCAACATGGCGACTATATTCCTGGGCCACCATGTTCCCAGCCATCTTTAGTTGGTCAAGCAGGCGAGATGCCTCCTCGTAAGAATCCCGATCCTGTCGACTGCCTACTCCGTCCAAGAGACTCGAAATGGCTAGGATCGTTAATGAAGAAAAGAGGTGTTGCGTGAAGAAGCAATCAAAAGTCACAAAGTTCCCATCGATCCACGCTCGTGTGAAGAGTCTTGTAGACTGATGAGCGCACCGTATGCATGCCTGTGAAAGTGCTGTTGCATCGGGAGGGATTCTGAATGATGCTGGAGATGGGCCGGGACGTGAGTTTGCGACCTGAATTCGCAGGGCGTGTAGCAAAAGTGGTCGAGTAGCCAAGATCACACACTAGTGAGGATCAGCGTTGAGCATGTGCAATAGAGGATACCCGATAGATAAAGGTGACTAACCTGGTAGAAACGCAGATGAAGAGAGACAACTTTGTTATCATGAGGCTCGTTCAAAGATTTGTCTCCAATCTGTAACGAACGAGGTAAGGTTTCGAACCAGCACTGGAGATCTTTGAGACAGCCTTGAACGCGGCTCGAGAGGTTCGCGCATGTGCCTTCAGCTTGAGTTCGGGCGCTGTAGACAGATCGGATTATGGAAGTTAATAGACCGGCTAGTTTGATATTAGCAACATGGTAATCGGAGTCACCACAGCTATTGGTCGAAGTCGAAGTAGATGGCTCGCAAGGAAGGTCAATGCCAATGTCATCATCTTGAATTGCCGGTGGGTGGTTAAGGTTCGCAGCACAGAGTCGGTCTATGATATATGCAGTCCAAAAGAGACACTTCCGATGTTGGCGAATCATGGGATCTGGTAATTGAGACTCCGGAATGCCAAGGTGTAGGCCGATAACAACTGCAACACGAACGGCAGTACCCGCGAAAACGTACGCACTATATCGTCGGTTCAGAGCCATAGAGTAGAAAGCCTGTCAGGATATTAGTCGTCGTTGGACATCATCCAGGAGAGGCTGACCAAGAGGAGGTAAAGCTCAACGGAGTCAACCTCGGGGCGCTCGTCAAGGTATCCCAAAGCCTTAGATGCTTGAGCAAAGTATGCCATTCCAGGGAAACCGTGGACGCCGGTGGACTTGGAGATGTAAAGCTCCCCGATCGCAAATAGGGCCCAAGTTCTACACCGAAGGGTTATAGCTTCCTGGCTCGCGTCATGGCTGTTCCGTTTCCAGCTTTCTGTAATTACGCGTGCTTCCACGATGTGATATGAGCGACCAATGTATTTCATGGCGGCCTCGAGCAAGAATTTGGCGCGGGAAGGCCCAGGCCAAGGTGTGTTGACATCAGCCAACGACATCATGGACTCGTTGGAAGCGTAATCCAGGCGTAGGAGGTGAATAGGCTCGGGGGCTGATGGGTCCGTAATGACCTGGCGAAACCGAGTTGCGAAAGCGGCGTCGGCAGCCTCGCCGATGAGGACAGGGCTTCTGAAGACATTCAAACTGTTGAACCACGGATCAACACTGATTGCTGGACTTGTTTCGGTTTCCGCGGACTCTGCAGATGGTTCTGGCTGAAGGTCTATAGGTGACTGAAGTGGTTGAGGGGCATCTTCTTCAGGAGTGTTTGTATGGTGGGATTCATTGATATCCGTTGCGCAGCGTTCTGACTGCAGCTGAGGTGTACTCTGTCGCCTCAGTCTATCAATCTCCTGGAATAGTTCATCCAGTAAACTTGAATTTCGAACCATTAGCAACAGAGACAATGTCTTAAGATGGGGGTTTGAAGAAGGAATGTCAGCTCACCTTTGCGGAACCTTTACCGTCCTATTCCTTTGCGGAAACGAGCACTCGCCCGCCTTGTCAGACTGCTGGCAGTTATGGCACGGACGGCTACCGCTACACTTCACCTTTCTTTCGTGACATCTATGGCAACTATGGAAGTGGTGACCAGTCAGAGGTCTCTTCTACTGATAGTGGGTCGGTTGGTATCGTCCATGAGGGACTCACGCGGTGTTCTTTCCAGCAAGCAGAACGCTACGGACACTCTGAGTAGTATTACCGGTAACGATCGATTTTGGCGTTCTCTGCATTTCGCCTGCTGATACCGATGCTGACGCTGCTTGGTAGGAGGGGGTAAAGAGGGTGGAATCTGAGTTCCCCACAGATACTCAGTATAATGCATCTCGGCTTCTTTGTGTATCTCATAGTACGTTGCTATGTTTTGGAGAATAGGCTTCCCGGATAGACGAATAAATGACTAAGACTTTCGATCTAAAACTTTGTCCGTGTGCTCGGTGAAACTACGGTCTGCCGATAGCAGAGGCAACTGATAGTTCGGAGATTGAACACCTTGCCGAAGGAACCACCAGTCTGGCCGAAAAGAGAGCAATCACCGGTTTTCGAACAGCTCTCTTCTACGCGACAGACGTACTCAAGACTTTGCGCGAAAGATCTACAATATGCGCAGTATAAAAGCAAGGCTGCCGGACAGAAAACAGGCGGTTGTCGCAATTATCCGGTAGTTACGTTGCATGTTCTGTTGACCCATACTCGACTCTCACACCATGTCCATCGACTATTCTCATCACCCCAACGCCCGCCGGCTGTCCAAGGCTGCTGCAAAGACTGCCGCTACTTGCGTCCAAAACCTCAATAATTGGGGTCCTGCCGTGAAGGAAATTCAGACTTGGCCCGAATATCAGCCTCAGCCACTGAGAGACCTGCCCCAACTCGCCAAAACGCTTGGTCTTGGCAATGTTTTCATCAAAGATGAGAGCAGACGGTTCGGCACTGATCTCGGCTCTTTCAAGGCTCTCGGTGCACCATTCGCGGTGTGCCGGATCCTCTCCGATGAGGTACACCGTCAGACCGGCGCCTATCCGTCATCGGCCGAGCTTCGTACAAGCAAGTATCATCATATCACACAACAAGTGACTGTCTGTGTGGCGACAGACGGTAACCAGGGGCGGGGGCTTGCATACGGCGCCAAAGTCTTCGGTTGCCGCTGTGTTGACTACATCCACGGTCATGTCAGCCCCGTGCGTGCCAAGATGATGAAGGATCTCGGCGCTATTGTCATTCGAATCGACGGAGAATACGACGAGTCTGTGTTCCGAGCCAAAGAGGATGCGCGAATGAATGGGTGGCACTTCGTCAGCAGCACTTCTTGGACTGATTCGACCACGGCATTCCTCAGGACGTAATGAACGCATATATGGTGGTGGCTGAAGAGGCGCTCGAAATGCTGCCAAGCCTCCAGGACATTACCCATGTTTTTGTCTGTGGCGGGGTGGGCAGTATCGCGGCAGCTATCTTTCTGGGCTTCTACAAACACTTTGACGAAATTTCTGCGTCAAACAGCACGATTCCATTTCCCCGCTGTGTCGTCATCGAACCAACAGAGGCAGACTGCCTGCTTCAGAGTGCAAAAGCTGGAGAATTACGTCAGAGCAACAGCAGCCTTAGAACATTGATGGCCGGGCTCGCATGTCGAGGCCCGTCCCCCGCTGCCTGGAAGATTCTTGAGTGGCTTTCCAGTGATTTCATTGCTGTTCCTGACCGCGTTGCCGTGGATGGAATGATAGCCTTAGCGGAGGGCAAGCACGGTGACGTTCCTGTTGTTTGTGGAGAATCGTCAGCCGCGACCATGGGTGTCCTCCTGAAGGCAGGCAATAATAAGGCTTTTCGCGAAAGGCTGGGTCTTGATGCGCGCAGCCAGTGCGTGATCTTCGGTTTAGAAGGAGCAACGGATCCATCAATCTATAAGGATCTCGTGGGCAAGTCGCCTGAAGATGTTTTCAAAGAGCAAGACGTATTTCTGCAGCTTCATAGATAGATAAGATCAAGCTCATACAGGTGACGTTTGCCAATTGACAAAAGCTCGGGTATTCGAAGACACCTCACCGATGTTAGAAAGATGCTGAACGAATCATATGTGTGTGATATTTTGTGTCTTTGTATACTGTCTCATTAGTAAAGAAACTTGGTAGTTCAACCCGTACAAAAGTCGATATCAGAAAGCCGAATCGTTCCGGATGGCCGAAAGCTCGAGTTCTGGATCCGTTCTCAAAGAAGGGTCAGGAAATTTGATTTCATCGTCGTGCCCGAAAATTTGCTACATTAACGTCGCGTCGGGATTAAACTGCTGCCCGAAAATTCGCAAACGGGACTGGGAGCCCGCCCGTTCGGCAGATGAAGGCATTGCTGGGCGCCAAGACCGAGAGCAGCCGGGAAGTTCGATTTAGGTAAATCAACACGACCAGTCGCTCCGCTCCGGCCATGGTGAGTTCGCCGAGCGCCAAGATTCGGTGGGAACAAGCAACGCCGCTGGGTAGCACTTACACCAACCATCGACATAGCATCATGAGCAACCGAACCAGGTTCTTCAGATATGGCGATTGCGATCGTCTTGCGACGTTGCCGGAGCTTTTCACATTTGCCAAGCCTGTTCGACATACTCAAAGCAAAACTGTCTGGGAGCTTGATCAAAGTTACGATATTCCGCATTAAACGCTGCCTTCAATGCCTATGTTAGACGAACCGACGACTCGCAGCTCATCATGATATCCGCCGTCAACACTGAACAGATGATGGGCCAACCCCCTCCTGGTGCGGCTAGCTTCATCGAACCTGACGATTTGAGGACCAAATTTGCATTGGCAATGTCGGCGATGTATCAGAAAGTAGTCCCGCTGTATGGCAACTTACTCGATATTGTGCGCCGTGTCAATCAAGATGTCCTCCGGAAAAAGGAAGAAGACCTCACTTTGGACACGATCACTATCAGGGCCAGTGCCGAAAGGCTCACGCTTGAACGCCATGGTGCCATCAGGCTAGGCACCCCCCACGAGCTTCGAACAGTGAAGCGTATCTTTGCTATTTTGGGAATGCATCCGGTTGGGTACTACGATCTATCCGTCGCCGGTTTGCCCATGCATGCCACATGCTTTCGCCCCACAAGCGTACAAAGCCTCCATCGGAACCCGTTCCTTGTCTTCACGACCATGCTTCGTCCAGAAATCCTCGCCGCCGAAGACGCACGCCAGCTCTCGTGGGAACTGCTTCAGAAAAGAAACAAATCCACGGCCAAGCTCAGTAGAGTTCTCGACACTGCCGAGTCCCAGAATGGTAGACTTACAGAGGAGCAGGCTGTTATTTCCAGAGGCCTTGCAAACCTTCAGCCGACAGGCAGTGGTTGCCGCTACCTTCGACCAGTTCAACGTTTTGAAGGCCGAGCATCCAATTCCGGCTGAAATTGCACTTTCCAAAGCGCCCATGTCAACCACCTCACACCTCGGACCTTGGGCATTTCGGTCGTCCAGGCTGCTATGAGGGAGGCGGACATGGCTGTCAAGGCACGCATCGAAGGGCCGGCCATTCGCCAGTGTCCCATTCTCCTGCGCCAGACTAGTTTTCTGGCTCTTGAAGAATACGTCCACTTCAGGCAAAGCGATAGTACTGACCTGGGCTTGGCTTCGACTGAGCCCGAACTGATCAAGGCCGGCTATAAGGCTCGGTTCGGGGAAGTTGAGGAGCGGGGTGCCGCGGTTACGGAACGAGGAAGATACTTTACGAACGACTTCTGCAAGAGGCCATAGCACTGGCGGCGAATGCTGAACCTGAGCAGGCTAATATAATCGCAGAAGATGTTTTCAAGCAATATTCTGACACTTGGACTGAATTGAGGAGCAAGGAATTGATACATAGCGAATATTTCTGCATCGGTAAAGCACCCCCGGGTGAGGCTGGCCAGCAACTCGATGCACTCGCTCTTGAGCGTCTCATTGCACAGAGTGTTATAGAGGCACGTCCAATCACTTACGAAGATTTCCTCCCATTTTCGACGGCTGGTATTTTCCAGTCCAACATTCAGTCTCGAAACAAAGATGGACGGCCGCTACAGATGAAACATCCTGAACCGGACCTGCTCGGTTTCGTGGAAGCACTAGAAGAAGAGCCTGTAAATATTCAAAGCTGGGAATATCATAGGATATCATCCACGGGCGATCGACTCCCACATTGATCTAATCGCGGGACATTCGAAAGAATTCGAAAGTAAGTATAAAAACGTGTGGCATCGTGCTAGTGCTTACACCAATGTGACATCGCATGCAGAACCACTGCATGCCAACGCCGGCATGCAGGTCATGTGGCTGTGTCGCAAAAGGATATCAGGCAGCCTGATCATGTCAACCCTTGATTGCTCAGTCCCTCACTCAAATTGAAGGAACTTTGCGCTTCTCCGAAGCAAATCAAACAGAGATCGATAAATCTTCATTGGCATCGTCATTATCGTCATCGGAGTATGAATGATTCGCTTCCAGATTACCAATACCAGGCCTTGTCGACATTCGACTCCGTACGCCTCCTCAGTATCTCGCGGGATGACAACCATCCACACGGACTATGGCTGTCGCTTAAGGAGGTCAACTTGGACGATGAACCAATCTTCGCGGCATTGTCCTATACGTGGCAACTGCCCAAGTATAGCAACTCCGAAGGTGCCGAAGAGCCAGGGCCAGGAAGGACGTTTGAGATCGTTTGCGATGGCAAGCTGATGGAGATATCTGAGAATCTCTTTGACTTCCTCCGTACCGTCCTCGATTTCCGGTGTTCATTGACGAAAAGAGGCCCCCCGACAAGTCGAAAGTGTCCGCCCAAGGCCAGGTCTGCCCTGGAATCGATGCCACTGTGGATAGATGCGTTCTGTATCGATCAGGCCAATACCGAGGAGAAGAAACACCAAGTCCTTCTTATGCACCGCATTTATAGCTCGGCACAGGATGTGCTTGTTTGGTTGGGAATATTGGAGCCTGACTCTGAAGTTCAGTGGATTCACGACAAGTTTATCCCCCGTTTGTCCAGGATGGTACGAGAAAGACCGGACTTTGCGAGGAATCATTTACCCAAGGATCCTTACTGCAAGACCCCTGAAGTTCTAGCAGAATTAGGATCCGAATATTGCTCGCGGTGGGCTGGAGCATGGCTACCGTTTGCAAAGTTCTTCAGGCAAAACCGATGGTTCGATCGTGGTTGGGTCGTCCAAGAAGTTGCTTTGACCGACCCAGCTCAAATCTATGTTCTGTGTGGGGAAAGCATCTTGAGTTGGAAGCGCCTTGGAGCATTCATTTTGTTCCTTCGCGAGTCTGGATGGGGCCAATCACTTGAGGTGCAGCTCGAGGGGTCTTGGGGATTATTGTCACAGGTTGGATCTCTGGACATGTCGCAGAGTGCGACCAGTAGGCGTTTTGGCATAGGTTCTGGCCTTTATAAGATCAATGGGGTCCGCCCACTCTTGGTCGAACTCGTGCGTGCCACGGAAACAAGAGGTTGGAACACGAGGTCGGAGTCTGCATGGCTTGCATGCGCGAGCGTTCTCATCACCACTCTCCGCTCTTTTCAATTTGGAGATGACCGCGACCATATCCATGGGTGCTTGGGTATGCTGTCTCTGCTTCTGCCACAAGGGTTCCCGAGCCCTATCGTTCCCGACTACGGCCGGAAAGTGGAAGATGTATTCACATCTGTAGCGGCGTGTTTTCTTCGGCGGCTTCCTTTACTGTCGGAAATGAGACATGTTGGGGATGAGAAGTTGCGCAGATACAGGGGCTTGCCATCATGGGTACCTGATTATTCAGTACCGATGGCGTTAGCTTCCAACAAGCAACTTGACATTTCACTTGAAGCTGATGAGACCCTTATCTCTCTAGAACAGCGCGAGCTGGCGATATGGCGCAGCCGACCAACAAGGCCGTTCGTCATTGGGAACAAGCTTATCTTGCGTGGTATATTCATGAACCGAATTACCCGCGTCGACTCAGGCCATCATGTCCTCGGATCTAGCTACGAAATGGCCTTGACAACTATTGACTTCCAGGCCAGCGGAGGCTCTATACCATCCTCAGCTGAACTTCTGGGACAAACTGGCAGCAGCATTTCTGAACGAATCTTTAGCTCTGCATAGATCACAGAACCATCCCGAGGTTTCCTTCGAAAAACGAACGTTCGGGGATCAAATGGCTGATTGCTATGTTATGGAAAGGCAATATTTCATAGCCACAAGACTCATCAATTGTAAGACATCACCGACAATTCCTCGTGAGGTCCATTCTTGGATATCAGAGGTCAGATCTGGCAATGCGTATGGAGAAAGTTATGGTAGGCTCCATGTAGATCCAAAGATTTGGCAGGAGCTTAAGGCCGGTTGTTTTTATCACACCGCCGATGGGGCGTTTGGATTTGGGTCTCCTTCATCGGCGGAAAATGATCAGATCTGGCTGGCTGAGGGTGCTTCGACGGCTTTCATTCTGCGGGAAGTCACTCCTGCTCCGGAGAGCAGCACTACAGGAACCAAGCCTCGAGAATTCCGTTACATTGGAGGCACTGAGCTCTCAAATTTCAACATTCATTCTACCCATTTAACTTCCGAAAGACAACGGCAGAATTACGAGGATATTATCATTGTATAAGAGTCAGTCCAAAGGGTGTTTGTTCAGATGTTGTTGATTCAAAATAGCAGAAATAGGACATATCCGGAGAGTTCTATTCTATCTTAGTCCATCCATGTTGGACTCTAAAGCTGTACGATACAAAAATATCTTGCCTCCCACTATTCTTAGTGGACAGTGGGCTGGAAAGCAAAAATATTGCGTCGAGGGGGAATCGAACCCCCGGCTCCCCGACGCTGCTGGATGGCAACGGAGAATTTTACCACTAAACCATCGACGCTTCTTGGAAAAGATGGACGTGAAATTGGATTCAATACATCTGCTTGCTGGTTCTGTCTGACAATCTGAAGGAGACAAGCCCTTCGCCGCCCGATTTTGTCGACTTGCGACTAAAAGGAGATATCGTCTTCATCAAGACTTCTAGCCGAACCCGTGGGTTTTACCTAGTCAGATCATGCAACAATTTCGCAGGTACATCGTGTGATGAAAGAAATCCTTCTCATTGTTGAAAGTCGTAAAGGCATAATGCATAGGTCCTCCCGTGAAACCAGAAAAGCTGACCGCAATGCCATATCTCAAGATTGCAACTCCAGGTCCTGAACGTCCAAATCAGCCCCCGTTCTACAAGTCAAGGCAGCAGGGTGGCTGCATCGTCTCTGCAGTGTCCGCCTAAAACTCGGTCTAGGGAAAATGTGTTTGCATTGGCTCCTGCCGTAGCTGTTCTTCCACGCGCCGTCGTCTGCCTTTTCCCCCAAAGCGCAGCACAGCCTCACGGCTCTCCAATGTTTCCTCGTCTATTTGGGCACAGCGAATTTCGTGGTCCACTCTTTGGCCGTCGCGATGGCGGCCTGCTCGTCCTCCTTCCAGCTCTTCGCGACATCGGCGGCAAGGGGGTCGTCGGGGTTCGGGGCACCGAGGAGGGCCTGGATTGACAGAAGAATGGTGCGGATCTGGAGGGCAGGGGACCAGTTGTCTAAAAAGAGATTTCTTTGTCAGCCATTCTGCGCGAAAACACCATTGCTCATATACAGCCACTCACTCTTCAGAACGTCGAGGCAGATGCGGCCCAGCTTGTCGACATTAGGGTGGAAGATCTTGGTAAGGAAGCGAATCTTGGGGGGTGTCATGGGGTAGTCGTCGGGAAGGAAGAGCTCGAGCTTGAAGACACCGCCTATAACACATATTAGTTCTTCTTCTTCCCAGTTCAATTTCCAGCGTCTGTAGTACGGACCTTCATACGGAGATTGTGTAGGTCCGTGGATCTCGACATCGAAGTAGCGGAGGTTGTCCTCGTGAGGGACGGCACTGATTCCGGGTACCCTTTGAACCAGTCTTTGTTAGCAGAGCACCGAGATGTCGCTAGCTAGGCAGGAGACCTACGGCTCGGCCATGAGACGCTCCGTCTCTTTGATGATACGCTTAGGCAGAGCCATGCTGGGCGACAAGAGTTCTGGAGCTTGTTCGAGGGTGAAGGAGGGAAGAAATGTTGTCTGTGCTTCCTCTAGAAAGTGAGGTTCGAGGTCAAGAAGCTGATGGACCGATGGCGGGGTTAAGCGAGTGGTAAATCAGATGGAGCTTCCTGGATTTCGGCTCGCTAAGGAAGGATGGAAGGTCGCAAACGAAATCGCGATCGGATGCTCGGGATATCGGTTTGTAGCAGCGGTGACAAAGACGACGAGTACGCGGAACTGGTGGAGTGTTTCGAAAGGCAACCTTTGGGGATGGTGGGCATGTGCTTGGGAAAGCCTTGCTTGGGATTGCCCCGCGGGAGGGACCAGAAGCATGACACACTCCAAGCCTGGCTCGACGCTGTCCCGATAACAGCAAAAGGGTGGAGACTGGAGGTGGTATTGGAGGGCTATTATTGGACCAAGAGTCCCGGCGGGATGTAAGTATACGACTGCAGACTTCTTGCGTGACGATACATCATCGCAACTGTGGGTCCCTGGCTGTCATCCCGTCCATCCACAAGCGGCCGTTCAGGATGCTCAGCTGCGGATGCACCTGATCCCGTCGCGTGCATCGGGACTCTGAGCATCATCTAAAGACATTCAATATCAAGTTGCGATACTGCATCCACCCGGTGCACCTTAACGTTCAAACATCAACTATCAGAACAGTCTAAACTGTGGAAAGACTCACTCACTGTCGCTTGCCATCGGATCATGGCAAAGACATAGCGCCTACAGATGCCCTCTTGAGGCATCTCTCTCATTTGAGCCAAAACCACAATCATGCCGCACTTCGACCAGCTTGATGCGCCGAAGAAGGGCAAGCCGATCAAATCAGCCTTCGATAGTGAGAGCTTCGATGCTGACGGCACGATTCACGTCGCCGGTCTGGTAGGATCGGCGACGATAGCCCCTTCTCAGAGGGATGTTGCTTTAGCATCGTGAGTGAACTTGTCGTAAAGCTTCTGAGCGACCGGTATCAATGCTGACACACCCATCAGACCCGAGGGCTTGTCCATCATTGATTTGGACTCACCATATAATCCTCCCCGCCGACTCAGCAGTCATGGCTCTCCTTGGCTGGTCACCGATGTTCAATGGTCGCCCTTTGCAGTTCGTGACTACTGGGTCGTCTCCACTGCCAACCATCGCGCGCTTGTCTGGAACCTGAACTTGAGAGATGACTCGACATCGGGAGCTATTGAGCATTCACTGCAAGGCCATAGCAGAGCCATCACTGACATCAACTGGTCCGCCCACCACCCAGACCAGCTTGCTTCGTGTGCCGTCGATGGCTACGTGCACTGCTGGGATCTAAGGCGCCCGAGACAGCCTGTCCTTACTTTCTGCGATTGGTTTGCCGGCGCCACGCAAGTCAAGTACAACCGTCAAGACCCGCACATTCTAGCTTCATCTCACGACAGGTGGTTGCACATTTGGGACGAGCGACGACCAAGCGAGCCCCTGAAATCAATCGGCGCACACACCTCAAAGATTTACGGGATTGACTGGAACCGGACCACGTCTACCAAGATTGTCACTTGTTCTTTGGACAAGCACATCAAATTTTGGGACTATGCCAGCGATCAAGATGTCCCGGATCGCGTTATACGTACCGAGTTCCCGGTGTGGCGCGCTCGTCATACCCCTTTTGGCCAGGGGCTCCTTGCGATGCCTCAGAACGAACCAGGCGATCTGTACCTGTACGACTGGCGAACACCTCCCAAGGACCCTGAGGAAGGGCCGACTGAGCCAGTAGCGGTGTTTCCTGGTCACGGCAACCACAAGGCCAAGGAGTTCTTGTGGAGAAGTAGAGGGAGCATCACCGAAGATGCGCTAGATAACAGAGATTTCCAGCTTGTCTCTTGGGGAGAGGACAACGAGCTGCGCCTGCAGCAAGTCGATCCGTCCATTCTCGAGTCTGTAGGTTATGTCAAGGGAATGGCAGCCAACAAGAATGTCGTCCTCACACGCAAAGGCGCTGCCTACAAAACTTTCCGAACGGTTGAGGACACGGTCAGCCGAGACAGGAGAAGTGCCACAATGAGCGATCCCCGCAATAGCGCGCAATACCGTCAGAGTGCTCTGACTATGGGCATGCGGTCTGGGCCGACAACCTACTCCAAACTTGGCGCGGCTTGGAAGGGCTCATCAATGAAAGCCAAAAGCACCTCCAGAGAGATGGATCGTAGCCAGGCACATATCGGCTGGATGAAGGGAATCATGATGAACAAGAGAAAAACATCTACAGACAGCCCTAGAAGGGCAGATTCAAAAGACTCCAGCATGTTCAGCCCAGGTTACATGGACGATGACAAGTGGGGAGAGCCAGAGACCATACAGGAGGAATTCCTCCGCATCAGCATGCAGCTCCCCAAGGTCAAGTGGGAGCACATCGACATGGACAATCTGACGCTCAATGCATCCCTCAACGGCCCTTGGGGCGCTAACGGCGATCCAATCTTCATCAAAGTCACGGTCGACATCCCCTCAAACTATCCGAAAGCCAAAGCACCAAGATTTTACATCGAGAAGACCGGATTTATGTCGGACAAGACGCATAGGAAGGTCGAGCGCGAAATTCATGAGCTTTGCCAACAGTTCTTGGAGCGAAAGCAGAATTGCCTGGATGTTGCTTTCTCTTATCTGTTAGGCGAGATCGACCTGGCAGCGAGCACGAATTTCTTCAAAAATGTGAAGGATCTCGACGACCCTTTAGACGGACTTGGCTCCGAGAGCTCCAGCGAAGACGAGAACGATATTCCGGCCGGCGGCTCGGCGTCCATGTCCCAAGAATTGCCTCCGAACGCAGAGGCCGAAAGCACGTTGGCACCAAACAATAGACCTACGATCCCACCCTTACCACGCTTCTGCGGTGCCCGCTTCTCCGACGACGGCCGCTTGGTGTGCTTCTTCCCAACCAAGGAAGAAAAGGCAAGGGCATTGTTATTCACGCCGGCAGAACCTATGCGAGAAAGGTCAAAAGGGGAGCCTGTTTTTGCAGGCTTCGGTCGTCTTGCGCATGATTCTCCTCCGGGAAAGCGATACGGCAACGATGAAATGTCCGCCACAGACGAGCAGTCCGACTCCGACATCTCCACCGGTTCATCGTCTTCGAGTGACTCGGAATCAACATCTATCAACAAGATGAGCCTATGGTATCAACCCCGACATCGTTTCAAGCGAACCTGGAGTGATAACCGCTCTGTTCGATCAAGCGGTGGCGGCACAGGAGTTGGAACCGGAACGGGCACAGGATCGCTTAGAAGGCGACCCGGCGCAAAATCAAAAAACGTCATCTCTCTCCACGACTTATCGGATATGCTCCCCGCGAAGAAGGAATTTGCCGAGGATTATGCTATATTTGGGGATGGTGCTGAGGTCTGCGAGCATAACGCCCAGGTCGCAGAGAAACACGGCTGCCAAGATCTGGTGGATGTCTGGCGTTACCTCTCGCTGATCCTCCGCCGAGATATCCCACTGGAATTGTCAAATATGGACCGTCACCAGAATTCCATTCTGATCATTGCCAGAGACGCCCTTGCGCGATTCCGCCACGCAGGGTCGCCGGTTACCAAGACGATCAATGGCAAAGACACTGCTGACTTTAACGGGAGAGTGAAGTGGGGCAATCATCCGCTAGCAAGGGATTTCATCAGCGATCTCTTTGATTATTTTGAGAAAACTGCAGATATCCAGATGCTAGCTATGTTGTCCTGCATCTTTAGTGAAGCATTCACCGAAGACAGCGTTGCCTACGCCGAGTCGCACCTAACACAGCCAGATACACCGCTACCCATGAAGACTCCAGCATTCTCACTCGATTACTTCCCCACGGATGCATCGCTTTGGACTTACAATGGAAGGAGTCAGACAAATTCAGCCATCACCACGCCTAGGACATTGCACACGCCAATCCGGTACTCTGGGTCACAAGGGTCCGCTGAGGAAATGCTTTGGACTGGCGACCCAGGCTCAAACTCTTACTCGTGCGGCGAGACACCACCACCAAGGGGTAAGGAATATCTTGGGGAGGGTGATCAAACGCCAAGTCTATCCACGTCGCCCAGTGGAAGGACGCTGTCGAGAGCCAACTCGGGCCTGACGTCGAGCTTCGCTATCAATTTCCCCCGACCTTTCAGTGGTGTTGCGACGGGGACGACTACTGCAGCATCGTCACCGCCTAATCACGGTCGTAAGAGGCCGAGTCCAGCGGAGACGATACTGAGCACCCTCGCCCCCAGTGCACCCGGCGCTGTCACTTGGGGAGGTTCGACCATCATGGGCGACTCGGGCACGGCTCGCACCTCTCTCTCGGATGATGAGGTTTACCGCGATGACCTGTTCTCTTTTGTCCCCATCGGAGTGGCGGTCCATATGGAGGATCAGACTATCTTCGACGACGACGGATGGATGACGACGCCGCTTCTGGAGGTAAACCGCGCTGACATGTACGCCACGTACCGCTATGTCTACGCCGAAATTCTGCAGATGTGGAACCAGCCTCTGGCCCGCCTGGAGATTATGAAGTTCAACGTGCTTCAGCAAAGCCAAGGAGGTGGTTCGATCGACGACTTCCACGACACGTACAGCATCGCCGATACTTCGACGACAATCCAACAGCATCATCACGACCAGCAGCATCACCAGCAGCAACCCCACAATACCTCCCCGATCCTCCTCGGAAAGAAGGAGCAGCTTCAAGCTCTCGTGGCCTCCGGCCGCGGCCTTGATGTTACTGGCGTATGCCGCGTCCACGAGACCCAGCTCGAGCCACTTAAATACACCTCTGCCTCCGCGACCCGCTCCGGGGGCGCCGTAGGTGCCTGTGACCGCTGCCGTCGCCCGCAGTACCAGCTTCTTTGCGTATACTGTCGCGAGCCCGTCGACGCACTGTACCCGCCGTGTCTCGGCTGCGGCTGCGCTTTTCACGAGGCGTGTCTTGCAGAATGGCATGCCGCTGGCGAGGTGATGTGCCCTGCTGGCGATGAGTGCAATTGTGTAGAAGAGGCGTCGAGCGGGCAGGTCGAGTCATGGGCTGCCATGATGGGCGCGCTGAGGAAGGGTCAACAGCCTGCCGTGGGCGTGTCTGCAGCTCCTTCGGGGGGAGTAATGGGTCGCGGCTTCGTGCTGCCGCCGCCTGCGATCGAGGAGCCTGATGATGAGGAGGTCGAGAGGGGTGACTGGGAGAGCGTGGCGAGTTCCGCGGGGATCCCTAGCCGGATGCAAGGGGGAGGGGCGGTCAGTGGTGCGGTGATGAGTGCCGCGCGGATCAGTCTGGGGAACAGGCTTAAGAAGTCTGCGGGCGATACCGCAGCTGCTTGGTCTCGCGCTTCTAATTTGAGGAAAGGGAGGGGCGGCCATCCCGGAGCTGGGGTTGGGCCTGGTTCCGGGCTCGGCGGTGGGAACGGGGCTGCTGGTGGGACTTGGAGGAGCGCGAAGTGATTTGAATGTATGATTCTAGCAGACTTTGTATTATTGTTGTGAACGATGGGCTAGATGTATGAATACCATGTTGATTTCAAAGACAGCATCTTACGTCATCGACCTGGCTGACTTATATTGTGACCTTGAGACTGGCAAGCCGTAGGATAATGCGCTGGTCACCTAGTCAAGATTCATCGTGAAGGATATGGGACTCGAACGGGGCAGATCAAAACATCACGGAAAGATTTCTGGCCTGTACGATGGCCCGCGAGGGGGGCGTGGTATTGGCGATTGGTGGTTTGTATTCCGAAACGACAACATTGCCTGGGTTACCAGGTTTCCATGGCACAGCTGCACTTGGCCCTGGGACGGGATGAACATAAGCTGATTTACCTCAGACATTTCTCAACAACAGTAAAAGGGACTCTTGCCCAGAAGCTTAAGGTGGTTATACTCCTAATCCTGAAGCGCAAATCTACCGAACTGTAGTTTGTGGGTTCGGAACCTCAAGCGACCATAGTTTTTCTTTTCTCTTTGTCTTTTTATGCAAAAAACATCACGACGACTTGCAGATTCCGCGTTGTGATGTCTTCAATAACTGTGCAAACAAACGTCCCGTCCACGGTCACATTGCGCAATACCTTCGTCGTGAGGATTTGGGGTCCGCCATGACTAGCATCTGGCGACTAGCATCAGGCGACTTTCAGGTTCCATGACTTTGGTGCATTAGGGATTCCATAGCAGTGAGCGTCTTGAAGATAAAAATTCCTTTTTTTTGAGACATTGAAATGGTGGCTCCAAAAAACGCCGAATTACCGTCAACATTTACAGTCATCAGGGCGTAACTTAGTCGGTCATCCATATCTACAACCCTCACATCTCATGGGCGGAGTACCAGCAGACTCTATAGAGAAAAGAGAAAGGACACATTCATTCCTCATTCGTGACTATCTTGTGAACTCGTGAGATACATGGTAAAGCCGAAGACGCTCAAAGGTAAACAGGGCAGTCACGGCGACAGAAGCAGAAGAAAACAAAAACAAAGTGACCATGGAGTGTACCTCGAGGGAAAGAAGAGCATCAACGCACCATATCACCGTTACGGCGGGTATCATTTCAGCTATAAAAAAATAAAAATAAAAAGGAGCCGACGGGTAAGATGACTGAAGCAACCCTTGGTTCCTCAGTCACCCACCAGGATGAGCCAAACCACCCACACACCGGCCGCCGCCCACCCTCAGACCCTTTATCTACAACTTCTACTCTCTTCCTATCACCAGCCCCGGGGGACGCCCCGGGATCGCATTAGCCGAGCGGTGAAACACGGAGCAGAAAATTCCCCCAAGGGGATGGGGTTTTCATAGACGAGGGTTCAACACCCGGGCCGAACTTTTAGGAGAACTTTTCTAGAGAATTTCTTTTTGTTCGTTGCCTTTTATTTTATAGCGTAGTATTGGGAAACTTGGGAATTCGGCGTTCACGTGGTTCCTTTCTGTGTTTTGATGAAGATTAGGTAGTGAAGACGGGCGTTTGTTCACGATAGTTTGGTGGGTAAGTTGAGTTCGTTTTTGGTGCCAGTATAGACAGCTGGGCGGGAAGGAATAAGCGTGAAGAGAGGATAGAGCTACAAACTCCGCGTTCGTTGCAAAAATAAACAAATAAAAAAGGGTTCGATGTCTCAGACAACACCTTCCCTCATTTCTAAGGCAAGGTGCCCGAGACAGCAAAGGGAAATGCACTCATCTCGTCGATGTCTCTCCATGTCGAAGGTCGCCCAAGGTATCGTAAGAAGCAGGACGCGTTGGGGAAGAACAGCAACCCTATGGACTCGTTTGACGTTAGAGCATAATGTTATGTAAGGTAAGTTCTGTAGGTAAGGGGAGTTGCTTTCGAGTTCGCTGACTGCCCGTTGAGGTGTCTGACGTTCAAGGTGTGAGGACGGACAGGGTGGGGCCAGCCCGGCCCCATAACGATGCACTCTTGTCAGTTGCAGTCACCGACTACGGGAGACACCGAGGAAAAGCGGGGGACCTTTAACTCACCGAAATAAACCAATGACGACATGCCGTCCGCTCCGAGACCACGGCCCCGAAAACTCGGCACCAGTGCTGACGACAAGGGGGTCCGAATCTCGAATCCTTCCGGCCTTCATTCAACGTCCTCCCACTTCTACAATTGCAACAAGGGGGTTGACATTCTTCAACACCCACGTAGAATACAGGACAACCCGGACCTCGAGACTGCCCACGAAACTCGATTACAAATTCCAAAGCCTGAGTCTCAGTAAAATCTCTCATTCCTCACCTTTGAACCCATCGCTCACAATCATCACAGACGAAAAGCTTCGCAATCTCATCTGCCTCATTACATCAAGAACATTTCCCCCAAAGACCGGAAAAGATGCCACCAAAAACCACCCCCAAGCCCGGCGGCGGCGGCACCTTCACCTACTGCGTCGGCAGCAACCCGCCCTTCACCCCGGAAGAGTACAACAAGGACCCGGCCCGCCGCCAACGCGCCCTCGACCTCCTGGCCAAAAACGACCTCTACTCGGCCACGGTCGTGACCTTTAACCTCCCCGAGCGCGACACCTACGTCTACCACGCCATGACGGCCGTCCGCCTCGCCGAGGTCCAGCGCGTCGTGAGTATGGGCGGCGTCAACGGGTTGCATGCGTGGTATCGTGACGAGGAGGGGAAGCCGGTATGTCGAGTGGTCTCTGTTGTTTGATTGACATCTTGTTCAGCCTTTTCTTTAAGCATCAATCTACATCCGTCTGTACATCAGTCTCTGTGGATATCTCCTGGATCAGCTCAGTCTTCTCACACGCTCCCATTCTTCCCCTTCCCCTTCCCAGAAACCATTCGAGACTCTCGCCCCAAATACCCCTTTTCACGTTGCAAATGACTCTCTCCTTTACGTCGATCCATTACCTCTTATATAATCCGTAATCTAATGCTTTGTATCACTTCTTGCGTCTCTTACCGCCAGTCCCTCAACATCTCTCATCAACCACACTCTACACCCCCCTTCTCCCCTTCCTTCAGCATCTCCCAAACATCCAAAGACTAACAAAACCACCAGCTCGACCCCCCGCCCCAAGCAGACATCCAATCCTACATCCAAATCTTCTCCCCCAAAACCTCCACCCCGCAAGCCCTCAAATCCCACCTCGCAAACGCCAAAAAGTCCTCCATCCGCCACCTCTCCGCCACCCACCTCCTCGCCCACCGCTACATCCACCCATCCTACTCCTCCCCAACCTCAAACCCCAACCTAAACGCCATCCCCAAGTCCAAAAACCCCCACACCTCCCTGCCCCCAAACCCCTCCCTAGACTTCTGGTCCTGGTCCGCCCTCTCCCTCCAATACGCCGGCCCGACCTCCTCGCAACCCCTACAATCCCACCACGTCCTCCCCATCCTAATGCACCACTTCGGCTGCGCAACACCCACCCACGAAGCCCTCTCCATCCTCCGCCTCCTGTCCGCAGGCCGGCCCATCGCAGACATTGGCTCCGGAAACGGGTACTGGACGCACATGCTCCGCTCGTACAACCTCACCGTCCACGCAGTCGATAACCTCCAATCCGAATGGCGCACAAACTGGATCGCAGACACAATCCCCTCTGACGGGGTAACCTACCTCGCCCAACACGCTGGTGGAAAGGACATGGTTATGTTGCTAGTCTACCCCGTCGTAGGCGGTTCCGTCGCAGGCGGGACGGAAGGGAGTTTTACACGCGGGCTGGTGGAGGCGTACAAGGGCGATACGATTGCGGTTGTCGGCACGCAGAATGGGAATGGGTATACGGGGTTTCGGGGGATGACGATGGCGGAGTATATGGCGAGGGAGCAGCCCGAGTGGGTGAAGGTTGTGCAGATTCCGCTGCCGAGTTTCGCGGGCAAAGATGAGGCGTTGTTTGTGTTTCAGAGGGGGGAGAGGGCGCCGCCTAGGGATGAGGGTTTGGGAAAGGCGGAGGATGGGTCAAAGGATGCGTAGGGACGTGGACGGGGAACATCGAGTGTTGGAAACGTATCCAAGGGTCAACTCGATAAAACTCATATAGCTCACGATAGAAAAGACATTAAACCGAAAGAAGTGATTCTTAACTACCAAAAAAAAATTCTATGATTTCCTTCATTCCCATTTACCCTCCGAAAAAAATAAACAGACCGAAAAAGAAAAAAAAAAGCACATCGTCCGCGAAAAGAGTCCTCATCATCCGACTGTGCCATCCGCACTTTCCCAAAATGCCCGCCGGGAACAAGCATATCCTTACCAGCAAGTACGCTCTCCGACGCCTCTCAGAATCGGAAAAAAAAAAAACCAAAGACGAAAAAAAGTCGAACCATGAAAAATGAGGAGTGGATGAGGAAGAAATCAAACCGAAAGTTGGAAAACCCCTTTTGATTCCTCCAATGGCATGAGAGAAAACGTGAGAGGAAAGAGAGAAAAAATGTACCGAGAAGTTGGAAGCAGAGAGAGGCCAGTCGAAAACAGCGTCGCAGACTCCATTCCACTCCATCCACGGAAACGAAACCACTCGAGAATGATCAACAAACAGACTGATGCCGCGTGCAAAAAGAGTAGAAAGCCGCCTCATGTCTTGTCGTAGGGGGGTCCAAGGCGTCGTAGCAAAGCCCGTATACTCTTTGCTTTGTCAAGGAACGGAATTTTTTTGAACGTCAAAATGCTTCTTTTCTGACCAAACAACATTCCACCAGGATAGTAAAGGAAAACCGATCATCCATCGTAGAGAAGAAAAGTTGTTTTTTTCATCGTCAAGTCGTCAAGCTAGGAAAACCATCTCCCCTCTTCTGCAAGTAGGGTTACTTTTGCTTCTTGTCCCGGTCCTAGCCTCTCTTTTTTATAAACTTGTCGTAGTGTCGGGCACGTTATGATACAAAATGGGCACCCTTTTTTGTTGCGTGTAGCTGTGTGCGTTGTGTGGTCGTGAGACGTCGATACCAACGATGCGCGGAAACGAGACTGAAAAAGCATTGAAAACATTTTGACTGATCATGGTGACTTTCGCTTTGATGATGCTGAATGTTGAGGTCCATGGCAAAAAAAGAATGCGGTTATGTGCGTAGTGAGAAACCCACACTAGTAAACGTATAGTCGCGAGATTGAGCTGATGAGTTCAACGTCAATGGGCATTTACTCATCAGCCTCTCCCTTTCTCATTCTCTCGTTCCACTTCCTCTTGCCGACACGCGTCTCAAAATGCGGCACGAGCGTCTTGACGTCCTGCATGATGGACTCAATAGCAGAGCGGGTCTTGTTGCGGTAGCAGTCCACTAATCTCATGTCAGCTCACACTCACTCTCATCTCCCACTTGGACCATGGATTCCACTTACGAGCTCTTTGGAGGAAGACTGTCCGTCCCGCAAAGACTCTGCTTTGGAGCCACGCCATGCGGTATCCGAGGTCGTTGAGTCGGACCTCCTTGCCTCGGACACTCTTCCTCATGCGGGGAATGGCAACCTCGCCCTCGGTGTTCTCGCCAATGGGAACCTTGACCATGGACTTGCTGTTTCCACGGCCCCTACGAGAACCACGGCCCTCGGTGTCTTCGACACCATCGTCTTCCTCATCGGCGTCCTCCTGGAAGAACTTGGTACCGGTGGCAGACGGCGGCGGGCTCTGCATCTCGCGCGGGAAGTACGACCGAGGGAAGACGGAAGCGCCCTTGCGGAAAGAGTCGGGAATCTCCTTGGTATCGACACCGTCGAGCGTGACTCTAACACGTAGACGCGAACCGCGGACATTGTCCTCGACGAGGATGAACTTGCGCTTCTTGGCCTCGGGGATGTTGGGGAACAGATCCTCGGGCTCGCCGTTGTCGCTGCGGCTGTGGCGACGAGCAGAGATGGCGCCGGCGTGGGAGCTGCTGCCCATGTGCGGCATCGAGCCGGAGCTGGGTGCCGGGTAGCCTCCGTGACCGCCGTAGCTTCCGGAGAAGACCTGCGACTGTCTGACGTCGCCACCCTCCTGGCCGGCGGGGGCCTGGTGATGGTGATGGTGTTCGTCCATGTATTCGCCATCGCCTATTTCAAGACAGTAAATGTCAGCCAACGTTACAATGAAGAAAGATTGGAAACTGGTTTCGGGAGGACGGATGCAGACGAGCGGAGTGTGGGAGGGGTAAACATGTTTGATCGGCAACCCTAACAACACGAACCAACGGCAACGCGAAACGCTCAAGACGACAAAGGGAGGATCGGGATGGGTTTGTTGCTTTTTTCCTAGAGGTACAAGAGTGGCATAAGAGTAGGTCTAGGGACGGGACGATTTCCCTTTTACGAGAAAAAGACCCCCATCCAAAGCCAGGCTAGTGGGACGCAGAAGGATTGGGGATGAATGCCAAAAACGCTAAGCAATGCGACTTTTTGCCGATGTCTCTTCTAAGAGGCATCGCTTCTTGTTGCCCGACAAACTCGGGTCAGGTGACTAACGGCAGCAACAGCAGCAACTGCGTGCAGCAACTATGGTAATGTACAGATCTGTGCCGTAGAGAAAAGGAAATCCCTCTCGACCCGCGGCGAGCTTTGCTGTATCGTGGTGACAAGTTGCTTTGATGCGGCCGAAAAAGCCCGGCGCTATACAACAGGAGGAGCGCAAGAAAATGACAAAAAAGTGCAACGAACCCATTCCCGAGACGTCTGACCAACTAGCAGAGTAATAATGTAATAAAGGCACAGAGGTGAAAAATTTGTATGTGTTTGGTGATGAAGCTCGTGTCCGCTCTAGGATCACGGCTGACAAGACAGGTGGTGATGAAGGGGGGAAAGGTATCACATAATCAACGATCTTTGGGGGTTGTGCCGGGCAGTGTGTGTATGTGCGATGCAACGACAATCAACAACAAACAACGACTGGGCTCGCAAACGCTGCAGATGCGGAGGGCTTCTTAATCACATCTGGTGAAACATACCGACTTCATCCCCTCCACCCGGAGCGTTGGTGTGCGGCATATGACCCATGTTCATTCCAGGCATCTTGGCTGATGCACCCGCAGGGCCCATGCCACCCGCACCTTGAGGCATCCCTGGCGGACTGGGGCCGCCCATGTGGCCGGGGTGAGGACCGCCCTGAACCGATTTCCGGGTGTTCATCTTGGCCATTCGGCGCACTCTTCGGCTTCGGAGCCGGGGGTCTTGGTTGCTGTTGCGCCAGCTATCCACGGCGCGCTGGATAAGACCTCTCTTGCCGCGCAGAGGAGGGTTCAGCTGGGCAAGAGCCCATCCGACCGTGTTGCACTCGGTCTCGTATACTTGGCGGTTGCCTCGGTATTGGTCCTTGGGGCAGCAGGCTCTGGGGTAAACGCAGTTCTCCGTCTTGAACTCAGCAGAGAGCTCGTCCGTGTTGACCGACTCAACGTCGCAGCGAATGGTGTACTCCATCTTGACGCGGTCACGAGAGTACTCAAACGCAATCCATTGAACCCCGTTCTGATCTTGTCTGACGACCAACGGCGTAGTGGCCGGGATGGGACCGGGCGCCGCGTTGGGGTTGACACCGCCAGGAGTCGATCCTGTGGGCGTGTTCAGAGCAGCGCCGTTCTGGGGGTGCTGCTGGTGTTGCATGGGAGTCGTCTGGGGCTTCTGGAGCTGCAGCGGCACCTGGGGCTCCGTCTTCATCTGGCCTCGCGGGCTGTTGGTCATCTGGGCCTGGTGTTGTTGCGCCTGGTGCTGGGGCATGTGTTGCTGCTGCTGCTGCTGGGACTGCGCAGACATCATCATGTTGGGCTGCGAAGACATGGACTGGTGCGATTGAGCTGCGTGTTGCGCGTAGGGAGACTGCTGAGGTTGCGCCTGCATCGACGGGTAGTGGGCTTGCGGCGTCTGGTAGTACATGTGCTGCTGGAGAGGTTGAGACGGCGGCTGGCCGTAGATGCTTCTGTGCTGGTCATGTTGAGAAGGCGAGGCTACCGACGCGGGCGAGTTTGACTGCGGTGTGTGGTAGGACATGGGAGGGTAAGGTGGTCTCGGCATTTGAGCGGCGGCCATCATGTCGGATTGATCTGCTATTCAGTGGTTAACGGGTGTGAACTATTTTGAAGCTGTCGAGAGAGACGAAGTAGCAAAAGACGCGTCTCCTCTCATTGTTGAGCGCGTCTTTTTGCGCGCGTCTCTCTTGTGGCAGGCGCAGAGAGGAGGTAGGGATCCTAGGAAAGAAGAAAACTCACCAGCGGATGTGTATCCGCTTGTCGCGCCTGGGGTGCTGTAGGGACTCGGGTGGGCGTAGTAGGGAAGGCCGTCCTGAGAGTGCTGCTGGGCGTTGGTGGGCTGGCTCTGCTGCTGCTGGTAGGCGGGAGCAATTGGATGTCCGGCGGAAGCGTAGGAGGGATGCTGCTGCGACTGGGCCTGGGGATGATGCTGTTGATGAACAACGCTCGAGGGTCGAGGATGTTGCTGGTGCTGCTGCAGATGTTGCTGCTGCTGCTGTGAAGGTGCGTGACCCTGGGGCTGATGGTGGGGGTGATGCTGCATAGAGAAAAGACCCATTAGTCCCTCGTCCAAGAAACGCTTCGACGTATTAAGTTGACTGGTGACAAGCAAGAAGGAGGAAAAAACAAAGTGAGGCAAGGCAAGGCGCGGCGCGTCTGTATTTTTATTTTTTGCACCTTGACACTGTCAGGGGACTGGGGGCATCCAGGTGCAGGCAGGTGGGTGGTGAGAAGTGGTTCCTTGCTGCCCCTGGAAGTCCTGGGAGACGACGAGGATCACGCGGGTGAGGCGTGCTAGACCCAGTTCGGGACCCCTTTCTGATAAAAGAAAATGTGGACATTCTTTTGGGGAAAAAGAAGAGGAGCAAGGCAAGGCAAGGCAGGCAAGCAACAGACGAATGGGATCCAGACCAGGTGCAAGGTCGCCGTACTACGGCGCCGCCAGATCGGAGAAGCGAGAGCAGGGGGATAGACACACCAGTGTACACGAGTGAGAGTGAGAGAGCTCTCAGCTACCTGCAAGTGTGCGTGTGGTTGTATGTGTACAAGGTTGGGTAAGGATGATTTGGGAACAAGATGGGAGGGGCGGATTCTTTTGGTTTACCCCTGAATAACAACCCAAGCAAAGTAGCGAGCTTCGAGTAAAGAGAGAGAATGGGCAGGTACTGCGACGAGGATACTCGGAAGCGGAACCCGGGTGGTTTCGAGAATGCGATGGCCTGGCTCTGGCAGATTTGCGCGACTGGGGCAAAAGACGAAGATGAAGACGGATTGTGAGGTAGACGGATAAGTGGTACGGATGGGTAAAAGAGTAGTAGTGTAGATGAGTAGTACTCGATAGAGTAACAAGAGGGTTCTCTCGACTGACTGACTACGGTCCTGGTCCTACTGCGGGTTCTTCCTTTGGAGACGCGACAGGAACGCAAGAAAGCAGAAAGAGACGATGGATGGTGCAATGAGATGACAAGGGAGTATGAAGGACGGAGGAGAGATGGCGATCGGAGCGAGGGTGCAGCAGGAATATGGGCAGCCGAGGGGATTGGGCGAGTGAGGGTACAAGTGAGGAACAGGGTAGCTATTTGAACATTGGAGCAGGGTAGGATCCAAAGTGGGTAATTATGATGGGGAGTGATATGTCTGGGAATCGGGGAGGATGGGATGGGCAGCAAAGGAAGAGGCAGGGGACGAGACAGGAGGCGTCCGTCTTGGTACGAGAGCTGTTTTCTCTCTCTTACTCTTCGCGAGCGAGGATCCTCTCATTCTGCCGTTTCTCACACTCTGCTCCTCTCTCACTTGTGAGGCAGCAAAGAAAGTGAACCGAGAAAAAGAGGATCCAGGACCAGACACACACACAACCAGCCTGCAGCAGCCCAGCCGGGGGTGAAAGCAAGAATGGGAACGCAATAGCCAGAGCCAGACCAAAAACAGACGATACAGGAAACCAGAGTGTCAGGGGGGGCGCAGACGCGGTGGAGCTTGATACCGCACCGCTGCCGCTTCTTGTTCGGGGTAGAGAGCAAGTGCAATGTAAGGTAATACAAGGGGGGCGATATAATGGCACGGTACCTTGACACCTTGGGCCCGATGCGAGGTTGCGGCGCGGCGAAGTCGAGATATCGACGGAGATGGCGATGTCGACGGCAATGCCCTTGCGAACGCGCTACCAAAGCCGTGGGGCAAATTGGAGGCCAGACGACGAGGACATATGCGCTTGTACACACACCCAGGCCAGGGTCGGGAGGATATATCCGTATATCTCGACGTCAAGGAAGAGGTGTAGTGTATGTACTATGAGGTACGGTTGACGGAATGAAAGGAAGAGCGTCGTGTAATCGCAAGGAATATGTGCGCCAGCCAAGCAATAACGAGAAAAGAGAGAGGTAGATAGATGATAGACGCAGCAAGCTGAGTAAAATAAAACGAGAGAGCAAGCAATGGTAACAGCAATGGACGACAAATGCAAAGCAGAGCAATCAAAAACTTGTCAGGGTTTGGAACGTACGTGCGCGCGTGAGTTCGCCTTCAGTCTTTCCTACTCGGTAACCTGTGTAGGAAAGGACAAGAAGCAAAGTCGTTTACTAGTAACGGCGGCGGCGTCGGCGGGAGGAAGGTAGGGAGGTAGAGAGAGAGAGAGAGAGAGAGAGAGAAAGATAGAAGTGCACCAATGAATGAAATCTTGTTCGGTTTGGGCGTAGGCAAGTAGTAGATGCGGGATGCAGTACCAGGCAAGAGAGAAAGACTGAGAGAGAGCTTCTCGATGCTTTTCTTGCTGCAACTTGCAGAGGTCCCAGAGCAGAAACAGCGCGTGGGAGGAGGACGGACAGGGGATAATAACGACCGGGGAGGCGTGGGTGTTGGGAGGAGAAGGAAGATTGGTTGTGGTGGTGGTGGTGGGCATGGACGAGGGCGAGGAAGATGAGGAAAGGACGCAGAAGAAGTGAAGATGGGACAAGAGGGGCTGGTTGTCGTGAAAAAGGTAGGGGCGTGAGGGTAGCATGGTGAGCCTTACTTTACGAGTCTTACACTCTCCAACGTGCGTGGGAAAGAGTCGAGAGACAAGGTGAAGACGAGGTGTGGTGTTGGAGAAGAGGGGGTATGCGCAGTACGGCAGACGGGATTTGCTTGGGTCTAGTGTGGTGGGTGGAAAAGAAGACCTAGGGGAAAACAAGAAGGAAAAAAAAAAAAGGCAAGGTAAAGATGAAGTGGGGTGCGAGTGGGGAGACAGAGGGGGCGTGTGTTCTTGGAGGGGTGTGTGTGTGCGGTACAACGCATGGGAGAAACGTGACAGGGGTCTCTTGCATTGTAGATTAAATGGCCAATGGCGGCACACGCTTGCAGGGCCGAGCAGGGTCAACTACCCAATCAGGCATCTCTCATCCGGGACTAGCCAGCAGGCCAGGATACTACCGGGATGCCGCCGCGGGCCCTCAATCATTTCTCTCTCTCACTTTTGTCTCTCTTGATTTTTTTTCACTCATCTCTCTCTCACTCTCTCTCAAAGGTCGACAGTCTTCAGACCGTCGCCGGCTCTCGTCCACTTGGAAGACAGACCGCAAATGCAAAATGCGACTGCAGAGGCATGGTGTCTGCAACTTTGCTGCTTGGCCCCCTGTCGTACCTTTTTTCAGCCACCGCCCCCCAAGGAAGAGGCTGCCCACTTTCAATTCCCGGGTTCCCTCCTCACCCTGTCCCCACCCCTGGCCCTGGCACATTTTGCACTTGTTTGGCGCAAGGCGGTGTGGGAGCCCATGAGGCGGAGACAGTCTGTGTGTGAGAGAGAGACGAGGGAAGAGAAGTACTCTGTAACTGCGTGGGAAAATGTGCCTGAGGAGACCCGGCTTGTGTGGGAGCCTAGTCTGGAAACATCCCGGCTTCTTCTTGGGACCTGGCACAGGATTCCCGCGCTGTCGTTGGCATATCCCCCCGCGTTTGCTGCTTGACCGTTCCTGGTCTCCTGGCCCGGCTTCTCATGCCTGCTGCTGCTAATGCGCTGCTGGCATCTAGAAGATGGGTACGGAGTATGGGAGTGAGGTAAGGTATGGGCATGGCACTGGCACTCGCGCTGGCACTGGGACTTGAGACCTTGCCGCTGACCCTTGTATCACCCACGTCCCAGGGGGCAACCAGGAACCCGGAGCGGTGCTTGGCCAGCACTGCGGGAACGCCGTACTCAATACTCGCTCGGACAGGTGCCTGACAAGCGTGCACCGAGGTCTCTGGTACGTTTGTCCCCAAGCCAGCTCAGAGAAGAAGATGGATGGGAGTTCTGGTCGTCTTCACCGTCGTCGTTCAACGTTGGTTTGGACTCTCCACAACTAGCGGCAGCCAAGTCACCCTCGCCGCCATTGCCTCCAAGTGGGAACAATGGCAAACGATTGTACTGTGGTCTACACGCCTTCTACTCATCTTTCTCCTCGTTGCTGGCGCGGGTCGAAACATGAACAGCTCCCCTCGTTGCCTTTCGTGCCAATCATCCAGCCGATTCCCGATTTCCGCCCCCTATCAATGCGCAATCGATGGGTAGAGTGAAATCAGAACTCGCGCAGATGTTCCCTCCAACAGCAGCCGATTCCGAATCATTTTGGCAAACGATCAGAGTGATGAATGCATCGGCTAGGTCAGCACCGACCCCCCCCCCTCCAATTGCTCAGCCACCCGTCATTGGGGAAGCTGCTGGCAGCCCCCACCAAGAACGTGTGTGCCGTAAAGCAAAGAAAGAGAGAAAGAGGATGAGTGCACCCCACCCGACGCCTCCAGATCTCCACAATCGTCACCTCATCTTCATCTTGCTTTTGCCAGGGAAAGGCCGGTCAAAGCCGTACACCACTACCTCGACTCGAAGTGTGTTTGCCGCCCATCCACGGATAGAGCTCGTCGCCTAGAACGAGCTCTTCCTTCAGCCGGTTCCTTTCGGCTAGAGTGTGAGATTTCTCCTTTCTTTTTCTCCTTGCTCTGACGTGTACATTATGACAAGAAGGAGCTCGTGACACTCCCGTCTTCTTGGTCCACGTGAGTGGTAGTCGGGAGAACGGGCCCAAGGAAGAGGACGGTAACGAGGGGGAGGCGGACGAAGTACACACTCTTCCGCGTGCGTACCATAGCGTAGCTCAACCTAACCAAGGCTTAAAAAGCTGAAAGGTCGGTACCCGTGGTGCTCGAGACAACACTAGGCATCTAGGCAGGCCCGGGAAGCCGTTGGCTGCCGTTATGCCCTGCGTGGTGTCCCTCATTTCCAATGAACCAGCCACCTCTTGTCTTGGTGCCTGCGTCATCAATTCTCGCCTTGTCACTGCCTCCGTCCAGCGCTAGAGAGAAGAAAACGAAAAGACGTGAGGAACATCATACTGCGTACAGAAATCGCGAATGCAAGAGCCAGCGATAAGAGGAATGTCGCGATTGCTGTGGCTCGCAAGGGGGGTGCGCGCCAGAAGGCACCAACCAGGCTGCACCTCCGCGCGAGACCCCAGTCAACAGCGCGAAGACTCGACCGCAGACCGGCCCTCTTTCGCACACGACGGCAGAACCACGAACGTGTCTCTGGGAGCTTTCCCAAGGTATCCAATGTTCAACCAGCCTCCCGGAGCTTGAACCAGGTTGGGTAGCACTCACCCTGCCCTGCTCAACCCTGGCTGGCTTGGTCTGGCTGCCCGACTCTGTCCCCTCACCCTCTCTCCAACTTTCCTCTCCCCCAACTTCGACAGGCAAAAATAAAATAAAAATCAAGATAAAATAGAATAAAAAAATGGTGCAAAAGGGAATAGCGTCGTAGTACACTGGTCGGGAGGTCCCACTCATGCAAATGGAGCCTGCGACAGCCCTGGCCATTGGTGAAACAGGAGCCACCCTGCCAATCTCACAGACTTTTTGGAGTCCTGACCTGGTCAAGCTTGCGACAGCGTTGCCATCTTCTGGAAGCCACGGGAATCCCAGAAAACTCATCTTGTCGACGCCAGCCATGCGCGTAGCTCAAACCCTATCCACGTTTGACCTCTTCTGCAACTCCCGCTTGAGAGCTTCAGTCGAGGTCCGTGGGAACCGCCTGTCACGACTCGCCGTCCAAGCATGTAGCCGAATGACGAGTCTTCCGACAGCTAGGGCCAGCAAGCGTTCAAGCTGACGCAGACACCATTATGCGCGACCAACGAGCTTGAGTAATTGAAATGGGGACAAGGGAAAACGCATAGGAAAACGACTTCTTTCGACACGATGACCAAAGGAAAGGGTAGAATAATGGACAGGCAGGACTTACGTGATCAGGCTCCTGCTTGTAGCCACCCGAGGGCTGCCTGTTCTGCGCCATGGCTCTGACAGTCATGAGTTGATATTGATGTTTCTGTGCGTCTTAGTTAGCATCTGTCATCTGTAGCTAGTGAACCTTGAACCAGGCGCTTCCAGGCCTCCCTGGAATCAGAACAGACTCGAAATCATCCCAACGGGGATGTTCGATGTCCCTTACCAGCCAGGCTGGTATGATATGAGATCGCCGAGAGATGGCCCATCCTGATGCCCAACCTTCGTTGGATTCCCCGCACCTCTTGGTGCAAGGTTTTCCCATCAAGTCATCACGACCGATGGACGCGGGGGCAAGGAAACAGGAATATCCGTGGGAAGAAAAGGACGTTGGCCAGCGCGTTGCTGGGAGGAACTGGGCTGGGAGATGCCTGCTGTCTGCGTACTCACGTTTTTGCTTAGGTAGGCTGATCTCGATATCGCGATCGCTGCGTTCCGTGAACTTCAGTTCGTTGCTGATGCGGGCGTAAGGTGAGCGAAGATTGAACCCGTGATCTTGGGCAGGTGTGTCCGAGGTTGGCGACGTTGTGAAACAAAGGTATCCCAGCTCGCTGCAAATCGACTCAAGTCAGCATCTTAAGTGTTTTGTTTTCCCAACTCTGATCGGAGCAAATTCATGCGACCGCGTCAAGAACACGCGACCGGGTCCCGAGAGTGAGCCCCAATAAAATGGTGACCCCCCCCTCCCCTGACGGCAATCACACAGGGAGAGAGGCCCAAGGGGGATGCGATGAGTCGTGCAGGCCATGTTCATGCGCAGACTGCAACATGGGACGTTACCGAAATTGAAACAAAGACGCGCTTGGGCATAGTGTAAGCCCCATGCGGACAGGCGCCGAACAGCAACGCCTTCAGATGATGCATCTCGAAATGCAATTTCGGAGCCCATCGGAAATACGACTATTCGTAGAGGCTGAACAGGATTTGACACGCGGCGGAGAGCACGGAGGGGAAAGCAAAGACGGAGATTAGAGACGAAAAATCACGAACCTTGTCGATGGAGATTGGGACGTGTTGGAAACGCGATGACGGGTCGTTGTCTTTGGTGTATCCGTACGAGCAATGACGGGGGAGTGTGTATGCCTGTATTTGGATAAGGCTGGCTCAATGAGGGCTACAGGTGGATTCTGGTGGTTCTGCAACGTCTTCTTGGTTTGTGAGTGTGTGTGCAAGTATAAGTGTGCGTATGTGTGTGTCTGTGTGTGTAGATACCCTTGTGCAGGGGGAGGGGCAACCCAGTGATGCACGGAATTTGAGGCTGGCGCAGCTTGGGTGTCCTGACCTGGAACGAATGCGGGAGAAGAAGGCTCTGACAGCGGGGTCCCGAGGAAGACGTCGATGGTTCTTCTAGTTCTTCTGACGGTAGATAGCGTATCCGTAGAGGGCTTGATTAGTGTATCTGCTTCCTTGCTCAAATGGAGCTATGCCTCGACACTGGCTCAGTCTGTTTGGGTAGTGTGTGACCGTCTCCCAATTCTCCGGGGATGGACCAGGGAGCTGGTCGAACGTTGTTCGCCGGGGCCGTGCGGGCGAATCTAGGATGTGTGTGTGTGCAGGCCTTGCTGTGTCCCGCTACTGGGGAACCTGACTTGTGCGTGGTTGTTCTACTGTAGGTATCTGTTCTGAATTAGTTCATGCAGGCCAGCCTTGCAAACACCACAGGTGCTAGCAACCCGTCTTTCCCTCTCGCAAGGGGAACCAAAATGTACATCTGTCAGGCAACTGGGGATGCGGCTTGACCATGGAAGTGCCTACGTACCTACTTGGAGGGTGCTTCTGGGAATGGCCTGGTGAGGGGGGGCTCTCGTGCTGAGGAGTGGCTCAAGCTGATTTATGACGCAGCGCAGACCCTGAAGGAATAGCGTAGGGTTGTTAAGACGCTTATCAGGCACTGCGAAGAATGGACGGCTTGCTGGGTGTGACTGGGAGGCGTGTGGAAGGTCGGGTAAAGCAAGGGAAAGCAGAGTCAAGAGGCGAACGGCGTCATGGAGAGAATGCCGGATATTTAGGCAGAGCCAGGGAGACTCGAGTGATTGGCAACGGGTCCTCAGAGGAAGAAGAAAAAAGAGTAAAAAATAGGACGAGTGATAACGCCAATTCCCAAGTAGGTCGACGTCCCTTCAGTTGGCCACTCGGCACATTGATTAAGGAGAAGCTGGGGTGTGATGGGCTGCGTCCAGGGGACGTCCATTGGATGATGCCGCGGCCCTCCAAGAGAAATGTGGACGAGAGAATCCCGGCTAAATGAATCGGGTGGGCAGGTGTAAGGGGAGCCTGCAAGAGGAGAGAGGTGTGGACGGAACCGGTCCCCCGGTGGGAGGGTACGGCGTAGAGAGACAGGCCAAAGGAGTGAATGCTGAAGAATATCGACGTGATGTGCAGAGTCTAGACTGAGGTTCGTCCTCACCGCTCCAACAGCTGGAGATACGCCGTGATGAACACCCACAGTATGAACACGGGTGGCAGAGAGCGGAGGCCTTTCAATACCTAGGGTCCGAGATGCCTGTCAGCCGGCCTAGAAGGACCAGGGTGAGAAGTGACAGGCGCCCCTTGGAGAGGCGGTAGCTCACTTACCATGAGAATAAGCTTCGTCGGTATCCGTAGCTGAAGTGGCGATGCCAGAACCCATTAGTTTGCGACTTTGCTAAGGTAGTCTAAGGTAGCTTCAACGTCGATGCTGTCTGGGGGAATGGCTGCGCTTCTGAGCGAGATCTAGAAGCTTGCAATTCCCTGCGGCTTACGAGGAATGGGACGGTATGACCCAGGTAGGCAAAGTACTACCTCAAGGTAGTCTGGTGGACCGTTGCCTGTCAAAAAACACCGGTCACGGTTAGCATTGAACGACCCTTGCCCACACACAAAAATGCCTAGTCGACCCGAGCGTCTCACCCTGGGGATTGGGGGTTGGGGGTTTGGGGGTTTGAACGGGAGGCAAGGGGTTCGAAAACGGTGCCAACCTCAAAGAACCACGAGGTTGCTCGGACTTCTCGTGATTTTGCTTGATGAGCCCTCTTGGAGCGTGCACAGTCAGCGTTGCTGAATCGCGACATGACGACAATTTTGTAGAACGCACGGGTTGGTTATCAGTCACGGCCGCTCCGAGAGATTGTCCTCGAGACGCTTCGGTTCTGGTCGAGCTCGAACGCGCGAGTAGCTCTCTAAGACTAATGAGACGAGTGGGCTTGAGAGACTTCGCTCAGTGACTGCCCAGAACGCTTGTTGTCACATGGTCAGGTTCGATTATGCATCAAGTACAATGCGAGAACCGCGCCGGTCTCTCACTGTTGATTGGATGCAGTACGCGCTGTGTGCAATAATTTGCATCCATCTGCCGCGTTTGTGGCAATGTCTTGTCTGATCTTGTTGCTATACCTGCGAGACGGCCCGGACTCTTGGGTTTTCAGGTCGCAGTCACACCGCGCAGGCACAGAGGTGTGCCGTTGTGTGCGCTGTCTCTCTTTTCCCCCTTCGGATTTATTCGCCATGACACTAAATAGCTAGGAACCTCCCTGGCTGCAGGTCGCGCAAAGGTTGGACAGGTGTTGTTCGAGAATGTGACCGGCAGATTGGATGGGATGAATTGCTGTAGAATCTCGGGCAGGCGACACAAAGTGCGCAGGGATAATCGTGGAAGCCTTGGTTTGATCTCTTGCCTGTTGCACGATTGTCATAATCAGCATCGTATTGACCTTCCCAAAATAAATCGCATGAGGTGGACGGGCACAACGGGGATATCCGCTGGATATGGACAATTCCAAGGAGGAGCGCAATAGTGCCTGGAGAAAAAGACGCAAGCTGAGGGGGGGGATCGGCCTTCCATATCCGATTAATCGCAAGGTAGTGGAAGGGTAACATCGGTCAAGAGAGGTGCGGTTTTGGCGTGCGCTCGTCCAGTCCGCTTCCTCGTTGACATGCCATATTTCGCTAGGGCCCGCCCACAGCGATCTGCCAACGCATATTGCGCAACATCAACGGTGGGCGGCTAGCGAAGCAGACGGACCGTCTCGAAAATATTGCGTGGGTGGCTTGAATTGGGTGGTGACAAGCATCAGGGTAGATGAGTTCTAGAGAACGAAACTACTTAGATAGGTAAAGGGTCACGGAAGAAATTGGGGTGTGGGAGGGGGCGCGATGGCGCCGTCTGAAGCTGTAACTTGGGCAAGAAACAGCACGACTCACATGGGGGAATAGTGTGAAGAGAACTCGAGTCGAGGTCGCCTGAAGACCTGGCCCGAAGACGAACAAGCTATGTTTCAGCAGAAGAACTGGCTCTTCGGCTCGTCCTTCTTATCGTTTCGTCTCGAGTCGTCTAGAAGATGAAGAGGGCAGGCCAAGTCGGACCAGGGATATGTCTTGCTTGTTGGACTGCGTTGCACTGGTGTGGGAAAGACAGATATGCGACGAGACTATGACGAGTTCGAACTGTCGGCCGGGGCGAACAAAGTTTAGACGGCGACTTATTGATGCTGCCATAGTGTTTGAGGGTAGCCTCGCGAGAAAGATGAGGAGGCCGGATTCTCGCGATGCCGTCAACGTGATTAGGCCAACGTTGCACGAAGTCTTTCGGCAGAGGAACAGCCACAACTACCGGGTGTAGAAATGCGGGAGCGACAAGCTGCCGGTGCTGGTGATGATGACGATGATGATGGTGTCGTTGAATTCGCGATTGACGTTGAAGATGGATTGACGTTGGTCAGACTAACTGTTGTAAGGTTGTCGTGCAGGGAAGGGGACGGGGGTCAGCGGGAGGACAGGGCAGGGAAGCAGAGGCGCGATGGCAAAGGCAGGCAACGGGAGGCAAGGCAAGACGATGCATCTCAGTTCAAGGAGCCAGGAGCCAGGAGCCAGGAGCCAGGTGGTGGAAGCTGCCCATTCCGTACGAAGTATCTGTAGGAAGTACTCCGTAGGGCAACAGCACCAGGCAACCTGGAAGGCAAGGAAGGTACTGGGCACGCCGCACCACGATCGTGGGTGGTGGCTCACCTCGGGCTGCCAGGATTGGGAAATCACGATGGAACTGGACCATGCCCCAAGCACGTGGGGATGCTGTCGCCAAGCGGGGGGTTGCGAACATGGACGCACAAGGTTGACAGAGCTAAGGTCGCCAGGGCTATCTTCAACCTCATGTTATTCAACGTCATGTCATTGATTCGCCAGTGCCGGCAACTGTCGACCGTCACTAATAATCTTGTCTATTGAAACGTCTTCAGTGAGCAGTCACTGCACATCGTCGGGTGTCTAGGTAGTGTGAATCCGCAAGCAAACATATACAATGATGCCTAAGCTGGGGTTAGGATACATTTGATACAATGCGATGCAGGAAAGGCACTTACATACAAGAACCTACCTAGCCGAGGTATCTACTCCTGCGAGGTCTCATTCGCACTTGGTCACATCTCAACGTCACCTTGGAGCATCACTTCGGCCCAGGCCAATGACACGCCTGAGAACAACCAGATCATGTTGCTACCGGTCATCGCCTGCAACGGCATTACTGTGGTCAGTTGCCGCCTACCAATTCCAATAAGATAGCCTCAAGGGTTTTACGCTCCGTGACGCAAAGTACTCGGCTCTCGTAAAGGCATAGCCATTTCTGAGCCTACACTTCCAAACCCATCCTCGACAGTTCAAGGCACGATGACGATTTCCTTGCTTCCTGAGGGTGCACCGCAAATGAATTTGTCAACGTTGTGGTGCATATTACCGTTTCCTTCTGTTTGCCGTGTGCCGCATGCGCCCCTAAATAAAGTGGCTGGCGTGGCGGTATCACTGCGACCACAACTATACATGTATCACTTTTCTCAACACATCGCCAGTACAAATCGCCGATACCAAGCGAGAGCCTTGCCAACAGATGCGATCGAAATGCGTAAAAGCGTATAGTTGCCCGAAGCTCATTTGATCGCTGCAAATGTGACCCGATATCTTCCCTTTGAGCAGATATTCTGACCTGCCCATACCCATATCTGAGCCATCCAGCTGGTTCTCCATGTCTTCAGGCTTGCAACGGTTGATGGTTCTCGGCGGTGCGATGCAATGCGGGAGGCAAGGATAACGGCACCGTCGAGTTGGTTCCTGGGCCATGGTGGAATGGGATGGAGCATACCACAGGGGTAAATCAAGCGTGTGCGGGAGCACCTGCGACCTGGGGAGGCGATGGGCCAGGAGACAAACTTGGGACAAGGGCCAAGGGCAACGGTGCAGAAGAGAATGGCAAGGGAATGCCAAAGGGTGTGATGATCCCTGTAGTTGACTGTCGCAACCTGGGTTCGAAGTACCTTACTCTTGGGATGCTGATCTTGACCAGGCACAGTGGCACCTGGCCTGCCCAGAGTCCTTCATCAGTGGCCCAGCCTTCTTGCCCTGGCAGGCGCGCCAGTCGGGAACCCAGGCTGGCAAGCCAGGGCGGGGTTTTGTGATGTTGACCGCGTTGACGGGGCCTGAACGGAACCGTCCTAAGGGTTGCCATCCCATGCTTGTTGGCCTGATTAATAACAGGGTGCCCAGCGGCAGCTGTCCCATGGTCCTGGAGGATAGCTTCTGCCTCGCTTGGGCTTGAACCCTAGCCAACCGGCCCGCATGCTGTGCCGTGCCTAGGCAAGGTACTCACACCGACAGACGCACTAGGTCAAGGTAGGTATTGATATTCGTACAGACCTTCAGGTCGTTCGATGTGGTGATACTGTCTCTGGGCGAAGATTTGGCTCAGAAATTGTGATGGTACCCCATACGAAGACCAGAGATCCGTATCTGTTCGGAGTAAGGTTGAGTTCATGGGTCTGGTAGGGAAGGGGGGAAATGGGACGAGCCAAATGCCCCTTTCAGCCGTTCTGTCTTCTGGTCCACTCGGCGGCCCAAGTCCTTGAGCTTCTACAAGTATGTATCCGTACTTCGTACGTATTAGTAGGCGTGCCAGGTACGGGTATGGATACAGGGACTGGGTTTGGGCGCAAGCCCAACGGTTCGTGAGCCGGTTCGAAAACTGACAGAAGGCAGCGGGGCCAGCTAACGTAGCGTGCTGCAACTTGGGAACGCCGCCCAAGATAATTACTTTTCGTACCTTGGCTTGCTTGGGTAGCAAACAACTTGTCTCCTTACTGCTAATCAATGATAGCTCGAGTCCTGACCGACGGTAGCAGAGATGGCCCACTTGAGGACCAGAGCGTGTTCTCAAGCGAATCATTAGCGTCGTAATGACAACGGAATTCGCCGCGCTGCGCAACGTGTTGCTCGTGCTGTTCAGGAAGCTTCTTCAAAAAACCTTCTCCCGAACGCGCTTGCAAGAGAACGCTACTGCCAGATGCCGGTACGTAGTAGAATATGTCTTTGCTAAAGGTATCAGCAAGTATGTCTGGCACGAAATCAGCTCACAATATCACAGTCACTAGCGAAAGGTCATCTCCAGCAGGCGCCGTGGCATATTGAGTACCCATTGACCTGATTAGGGTTGGGCGATAGAAACCTGCTGCAGAGCCCTGGAGGCGGTGACGCTGAGCCAATAAGCATTGAGACGAAGCCGTCTACCGACACGCGGCGGAAACCCAATAAGCGATCGGCCACGGCAGTATGTGAATACGGGATTGGGCGGCGCCAGTGACAGGCTGAGAAGTTTGGGGGCGGACTTCGAAATGTCCGTCAAACCCATCGGGCCATGAAGACGCACAGTCTCTGTCAGTGGTGCCAAGCGTTTCCGCTTCGACTTTAGTCAAATTTGGTAGCCCTGATGTTGGACCGTTGTTCATATCGGCCACGTTCTCAATTGGGGCATTGCCAACTTCGAGAAGCTGTGGGCGAGTCATTGGGTGCGGGAAACGTTGCATTTCGGGTAAAGGTTCTTTCGTCACCCACGCATACGGGGTGCATCATTGACTTTTCTTCCTTCTCGATCATATCAAAATCAGTCTGGCTTCAAACGGTTCGACGCCAGGCCGACGTTTAGATTGGACGTACGTAATGCCGCCTGCGGACTGGCAGTCGGATCAGTCGCTGATGGGGGCTTGTCACGGGTGTGCGGGTGTGCCAGAAACTTTTCTTGTGGCGGCGGCGGAGGCGGTTCACAAGAAGCCGGAGATCGACATCCATATTGTTCCAGCCACATTGGCCCCTTCGTCCAGCGCGTAACCGTCACGCCCCCCCCCCCCTTCGGTATCGGGGTTTTCTCTCTGTCTCGAAGTAGGGTTGAGAAACGAGGTGCTTCATGTGCCCGTAGGCGAAGGTCTCCTAAAGAAACAGGGCTACCTAGAAGGAAGTGGCTGGTGGTTAAACGTCGACACTTTACGAGGCGATAGGATGTGATGCCGGCAACAAAGACATGTCTTTCCAGGAGTGCGGATAGGACATGGTGAATTGCGCCGGGACAGTCACAATTGGTTTGCCTGGTTGTGCAAATTCCTTCCTTTCCCTCCCGTGCCACCCACCAACGTCAAGGTACGTAACTTCTCGTAACTGATCTGCCTGCGTTTGGTGGTTGCATCTGCATCAAGAGTTGGTCAGTCAGTTCTGTGCACCTATTTTTGTTCTTTGAAGGCTGGGATTTGAACCGTCTCATCGAGCCCAAAGTTTGCAGTCCCATTGTTCCTTACCGCGGTGGCTATTTTTATGCTCCCGTAGTGTGGTATCTTCAGCACGACGACTGGTACAACGTAAAATCATGCTGAGAATAAACCTCGTGTCTTGACATCAAGGACAGTGCAAATGCCCAGTTGGACGTTCTTCGTTTTTCCTTCAACTTTCAGAAGCTGCACAATGGATCTGATCGCAGTAAGCTGGAAGTTCGGACGGACGCCGCGGCGCGGGAGTCGTCCGGGCACGCCAAAATGGAAACTTGAATCCTGACGGGGTCCGCAGAGGGGAGCGAAAGCGAAAGGGACGTCACCTATCAAGTCGATGGCGGAAGCCCAACGTCAAACGCCATCGGAGCTGGGTCCTCGCCAGACTCGACACGTCATTGGTGGTTTATTGCAACCGAGCTCAATCTCGTGGCTCCGACCAACCATCAGGTTTCTTTTCCCCAGCAGTGCGTGCAGCCACCATGTGGATGATTGTTTTTGGTTTCTGAATACCAGAGGCGATGTCGTCCCAACTTCTACCCGGCTTCGTTGACTATAATGTGATGTGACGATTCAAGCTTAGCGAAAAGGACGAACTGTGAATAACAGATGCAGGCAGGATACAGATGATATGCGGGCCGGTGGAAATGGGCGGGGTCGTGATTACTTCGAAGTTCGAAAGGTAGGTAGTCACTAGTGTGCGGATAGGGTGCGCTCGTATGGAATATGCATATGCATGCAGTGATGACGTCCCTGCGTGCTCAATGTTTGTCAAAGGTCTGTCCAGTCCATTAGCATGTACGGAGTACTAGGTTGGCACACTTAGGTATCTCGCCTCGGCATCCGACTAAGTATCATCCAGTTATGATGGAATGGAATGCGGTACGCGGAAATTGTATGGCATCACGGCTGCGGTGCTGGCGTGCCTGGATTTTGATAGTTGGAAGTTGGGTGACGGCGACGCGTGAAAGACAAGGAAACCCAGCTGTGGCTAAGGATGAGGCTGGTGCTTTGGAAGTTCGCAGCGAAGGCGCACCTGCCAAACCATCTCATCGCAAGTTCGCGACTACGTCTTCAGCTGGAAAGAACATTCGCTATCCGTACCTTCCTCAGATTCCGTATCCCAATAGCATGGGATGTGCGCTCTTTCCCTCCGAGATTCAGGTAAGTGTAAGGTAAGTACCTGGGCCTCACATGATGCCTTAGGTTCATTCACAGTTTTCTGACGCCTTGTTCAGATTCGGTGACTCGGTCTGCCTCCATATGTACTTGGTGCCGTTCAACGACAGGATACGCATCACTCACAAGACTACTTAGTTACAAAGACACAGACAGGTCTACTTAAGCTGTTCTCCTGCCGTGGCGGTTTACACGTGGATGAACCATCCTGCTCCCCGGCTTTAGGCGACTTGAATCCTCAACCAGCTGCGTCGCACAAGCAATCTTCAACGTCTCAACCCTGTCGCTTTTACTTCGACATCGAGCATTGCCTGGCCATATCAGAGAATTTGGCATCCCGTCTATGAAACGACCCGTGGCGGTCCTTGTTGGGGCTAGGCTGTACGAACGGTGAAATAACACAGATCGCTACCACGGTGATGCTTTCCCTTCAAGTTGTCCACCAGCGCTTCGGAATGACAACAAGCCACTGCCGAGACAAGATTACGGAAGCAATAGCATCATGAAGCCCATCTTCGGACCGCCAACATTGCTAAGTCGCTGTGGTGGGGGGTGTCGTTGTTGGTACAAAAAAACGCCCAGTCGTCTGTACCTGGCCTGCAATTTCAGCGTCTCTTGCCCTTCAGCGCCACACAATGTCTTGGGCTCCGCCTGAGTGTTCGCTAAACAGTCGGTCAGGGAATTCCCTACTTGCGCCCCGGCCGTCTTTCCAACCCGACTGAGTGGCGCGAAACCGGTCTTGCCACTGAGTTTCTGGGCTGGGACCGTTGGCCCTCGCCAGGGGTGTTGCGGGCAAGCTGTGGGCACCAGGGAAGTGGGCGTGGCTGCCGCGAGTGGGCGTTCAAGGGGCGCCGTCCGGCATGGGCTACCCGTTTGGACGGTGAAGAGGGAGCACCAGGCTAGACCAGGGCCGGCTTCTCCAACGTCGCTGACAGCCCAGAGAACCCCGGCAAGCCTGGCAGACCCCGCGAAGCTTGAGCGAAAAGGGTCTCACTTGACATTGTCAAGGCGAACGGGTTCCCTGAACATTGAGCTTAAACATACACGGCGGTTACGGCGCGGATGGGCTTCATGGCCTCCCCGGACTCAGTCAGATACTTGGATTAGATTCACTATCAGCCCGGTAAATGTGAGGGAGTACTCACCGATCACTCACTCGACGAGCTGGGGAGAGGATGGCCCTGGTGGTTCCCGAGCTACCCTGAGCTCAAGGAGCTACCTGGTCGAGTATCCGCTCACAGGGCATCGGGGCCTAGGAATCCCAGAATCCCAAGGGCCAGCTCGAGCTTTGCGGGTATGCTGCAATATTTGGCAACGTCTAAACATTCTTTCAACGTCAATCTCCACGTTTGAGGCAACTTGCGCATCCATTCTTACCAGCGACTGCATCTGATCTTGACCACAGTCTACTGTGTTTGTCGACGGCGACATGTAGGGCAGCGGACTTCTGTTCCCCATCGTCTCGGGAATTGCAATTTCCTTGCTCATCATACCACGGCAACGCCGTCACAAGAAACATTGCAGGAAGAGCGAATACCACTAGCGTTACGAGCGGGCGTTCGGATTACTACCCACAGAGGTCACAGTGCCATCCAAGATCCACAGAAGCGCAACAATGCTCAAGCCCGGCGGCCCCTCCAATCACGCCAAAGACACTGCACCCCCCTTGGACACGGCACGTAGTCGATGACAAGTCCATCTACGCATACACTACGGAGGTGCGTCTCAATAGTCCTTGCAGTTGCTGCCAAGACCAACCCCTGCCATAGACAGGGGAGTCGACAAGGGGCTGGCTAGGGTGTATACAAGCGGCAAAATTCGGCCACTTCTACCCACTATAATTATCGTCAATTTAATAATAAAAAGTCGTTAATTAAGGTTAATTAGTAGTCGTTTAACGGTATAATCTAGCCCAACGACCCTCTTTATATTTATTACCGCCCTTTAGGGTAATTATCTATTAGATATAGTAAAGTACCCTTTCTATTTATTTCTAGATCTCCTTTTATAATAATATTTTTTAATATTTTTATTAACAACGTATTATTTCGGCCCGTAATAAAGGCGCCCCTTTTCTAATAGTCTATCTCTTCATCTACAGCCAGCAAAGTTCAATAAAATTAAAGTCGGGCAAATTACCCAGCTAAAAAAGCTTCGTAATCTTAAAAAGGCTATATATATAGTAAGTAAAGTGATAGTTATAAACGGGTGCCTTATCCTTTTATACGATTAGATTATTAAATAATCTTCTAATATAAAGGAATAATTTAGGTAATAGGATTTTTTTACGGTATTTATATTAATTAATTCTGCCCTTGCCGTTCTATATTAATTTACCCGACTTTATATTTTAATTAAATTAGGGCTTACGGCCCGGTTAGTTCTATAAGCCCATTTGCTCTATATTACTCTCGAGCTCCTATTATTAATATTAAACGGGTTTAAGCTCTACATTAAGTTCGGTAATTACTACGTCGGCAACTTCCCTTTTAATAATAATCTTAAGAATCTAATAATAGTACGGCCTTTTTAAATTATATAAAAAAGACCCCTAAAATATAAATTCAGAATAACCCTTCTACCTCTTTTATATATACTATTTAAAGTAAGCTTCGTTTAGGCAATACTAGAGCTTATAGCTACCGTAATAATAGTTAAAAGTAACTACAGTCTCGTCTAACTATATAACCTACTTTTAATCGTTAAGGGTCTAGTATTAATAGTCGAGGTACTATTTAAATCGCTTTTACCATATCTTTTTTATTAAACTTAGCTTATAAGTTAGTTTAATCTTATAAAAGCTATAATAACGAAGGATTTACTAAATAATCATTATAAATATATTAACGCCCTCGTCCTTTAATAAGTCCCTAGCAATATTAATATAATTCTTTTTATATTTATACTAGTTACGGTAGACTTTATAAATAACGGCATCGTTAACCTTTTTTATTTATCTAATTAAACAGCTATTTCAGGGGGTATCTTTATAATAAACAGGCTTAATCAAGAAAGTAAAAATAATTAAATCGAATCTATTTTTTTATATATAAATAAGAACGTCGTAAATAGTTTAAACTAGAATTTTTAAAATTTAAAAGACCTATTTAACAGTCTACTTAATAAATCGATTTTATAAAATAAAAATTACTACCCTAACGCCTAAATCTAGCTTCTTTTTTATCAATATCTTAAGATCTATATTAAGAAAAAAAAAATATAATAATATTACGGCCAGCTAATCGTAATAAGTATGTTAACAAAAGTTAAGGCTACAAGGGCTAAGTAAATAATATAGTAGTCGTAAATAACTTCCTTAAAGCTATATCTATAAGTCGTAAAATAAATAAAGCTTTAATAATCAATCATAATCTTATTAAAAAGTATTTTTAATAAAAATAGCTAAAAGCGATCGTAAAATCTAATATTAAGTTAATTACTAAAAAAGCTATAAGAAGTCTATCTTAAAGCCCAGCTCGAGTCTATACTATATATAAATCTCGTTCCTAAATATATCCTTTATCTATATATCTACCTAACGGGCTCCATATTCTAAATATACAGGCTCCGTATTATAAAAAGACGGGTCCGTATTTTTAATATACGGATCTCTTTATCTCTTATCATCACGTAACTTAATCTATAATTCTTCTATTCCATTAAAATAACGTATATATTCCGCTTACCTATATATATATAGTCGTGCTATAGCCGCTATAAGCCCGCAGGGCAGGCCCTAGTCTTAATCGTATATATTAGGTCGTAATATCAGATCTCCTTTCCAAAAGTCTAGTCCTATAGACCTATAAATAAGTATTTATAGCCTAAGTTAAGGTCCGTCAAATTTACTTATTACAACTATACTAACACAATATCAAGTCATATTAAAAAACATTCTTTAAAAAATACTATTTTAAAACTTTACTTAACTTATAACGACGTATTCAATCGTTTTAGTTCTAATAACGTTATACCTTATACCCGATATTTTTATACTAAGCGCCCATACCGAATAACTAATAGTATAAAGACGTACCAAGGTTATAAAAACCTAAAGCGGCCTTATAATAGTCTTATTATTACGTCGAATTATAAGTATATTATTTCTACCCGTCGTAACCCTTTCTTATTAATATTTTTTTTTAAATATAACGGCTAAATAATTAGCGTTAAGAATAAGAAAAAAAAGAGGAGAAAGTTAATAATATTTTACTCAATCTTTATAAAAAACTAACTTAAATACAATCCAAAGTCTCCAAAGCAGCGGGTCGTCTCGCTCATATTTAGGCGATTTATAAAAAGATAAAGGAGAGGCATATAAAAACCTTTTCTCATAATATATAGGAATTAAAAGAGGAAGATAACGTTCTTCCTACATTAAATATTTACAAACAGTAGGTCATAAATAACCTTTAAGCTACTAACGTTCTTAACAATACTAATTAGTCTTTTTTTAGGATTAATAACGAGTTTACGTCTCTAGGACCGTTAATACCGTCTTCTAATAATCCTTAAAAAGTTATTAAGAATTCTAGAGGTTTATAATAAGCTCCTATATATTTTCCTTATATCCGTAGTATTTCTATTTAATTAAAAACTCTAGTATTCCGTTCTTAATCCTATTATCGATAATTTATTTAACTTCGTATTCTAGTTCGTTAGGTTTTACAATAATATAATCTTCCATATATAAACCTTTAAGTACTAATTTAAAAAGTAAAATATAAAAGACTAAATAATACTTTATTATATCTAAAAGTCTCAATTTATAATTAACTAATAAGACTTTCTAAATAATTTCGAAAAATCTAAGTTTTTTATAATCTAATTTATCGCTTAGTCATTTCGTCTTAATATTATAGCAAAAAAGATAGGCACTATCCCCCTTTTCTAAAATTAGTCCTTTAATCCTTAATTTATCCGCATTTTTCTTCATACATTAGCGTACAAACTTAAGGTCTAAAAATACCTTCTTCTAAAGTTCTCTAAGTTTCGCTATATCTACCACTACTTTTACAGCTTATAATCCTTATTATACTTCTCTATATATTATTAGCTAAAATCCATAATTTAAATAAAATAAAGATTCTTATATACTTTCGCTAACTACACTATTATATACAAATTAAGCCATTAATAATAATACTACCTAATTATTTTAATCATAATTTATATAATAACGGAGGTATATCTTAAAAATCTAGTTAATTCTTTCTATCTAACCATCGGTTTACAAATAAAAAGCAGTTAACAGTTTATAATCTATACTAAGTTACAAAATCAAAGATCTCCAAAACTTTAAAGTAAATAAAAAGCCTCTATCAGAAATTACTTCCTTTAACATACT